GCATCCAACTGATTAGAAGAACAATATGATTAAAATTATTACTGATTTAACATGTGGCCATGGCCATCCAAGTAAGGATGAACAAATCCCATTTTCAATGTAAAAATGTTTAGCTCAAAGATAAGACCTTGTGACATGACACTGAGAGTAGTGTTCTGTGGCAGGTCAATAATGAAACGTGATATATATTGTAAACATCCTACTGTAGAGTGTCGGAGGTGCATGTGGCACCTGTAGCATTATCATCCAGCTGCCATGGGACATCGAGTGAGTGAGTGAGTTTAGGTTTACGCCGCACTCAGCAATATTCCAGCTATATGGCGGCGGCGGTCTGTAAATAATTAAGTCTGCACCAGACAATCCAGTGAATCAACAGCATGAGCATCGGTCTGCGCAACTGGGAATCGATGACATGTGTCAACCAATCCAGCGAGCCTGACCACTCGATCCCGTTAGTTGCTTCTTACGACTCATTTTAACCCGGACTTTCATGGGTTGGGACATCAGAGAGGCAAGCCAAAGGCAATGACAACTCAACATACTGAGTGGCACCATCCATACTAAGTCTAAGTGTTTACTGCTGAGATCATGTATCAGGTGGTTGAAATGAAGCTGACTGTTTCAAAGAAACATTCCCTATTCTCGCTCAGATCACGATTCTAACCAAGGTAGACTCAGTGGGGTAGCCTTCTGGTAAAAAGCGTTCGTTCATTACGACAAAGACAGTGTTTACCCTTGCTATCTAATCTGAGTTTAAGATAAATTGTCTTTAATTAGCTACTGACATGGTTTACAATTGTTCGTGCAATAACCTACAAACAGCGTCCAAAAACCCATAACACACATTTGCCCGGCAACCACTAAAGCACGAATTCAGTCCAGGTCAAGTTTGACCTTTCGGTGTTGGGGAAAATCTTAAAATTTTGTTTACGTAAATGATAACACAGTATCAGCACATACACTCTGTTGCACAGTTGTCTCATATATTTGGAATGTTCCATAGGGGCACTAAATAGTGACTAACGGAACTGTTGATTGTGACATGAAAACTCTGTCAATGACGTGTGATACTTACACCCCTATTGAGGTAGTTGAATAAAAAGTCGCCTCCCTGGTCAAACGCCCTTTCGAAAAAGAATGCCCCTACGACGATTGACAACGCGAACGTTGATGTCCGCCGGAATACATTCTGGTATACTTTCGAAACGAGAGACATCGTGCTTGCGTTCGTTTGACCTTGCTGCGAGCTTGCAGTGGAAGAATATGTAAAGAGTAGAAAATAGTTCGGCTTCATAGAGTGCGGTATATTTTTACATGTAACTTGGGTGATGTGAATGTATATTTTACGTATTTGTATGTGTGACAGGTACCAGGAATTTATTGTATCTGAAATAAAAGGCAACAGCTATTAGATAACTATATTTTAAAGTGTAGTTCTACAGCCTAACCACTCATTCGGAAATTCTACCTCCAAACATTAGAGTCACGGGGAGAAGTCATTGAAGCTGTATGAAGGCTTATATGGTTTTAGCCAAACACTTTCTCCCTTTGACATGTTTGTTTGCTTATAACGTTTGATATGGAAAGCTATCGAAAGAGACTTTAGGGCATTAAGTGAATGTTGTTTGTTTTGTCTATGAATATTGTCATGGAAACTAAATGATCTGATGTGAAACTGTTCATTAACTATTTTTTTACATTAACGATTTTGACATTTATGAAAGAGAAAATCACAGATGTTTGTGAGAAAATCACATTTGATATCATGATTGAAAGAATATTGTACTATGAAAATTCAATACATTTTAAGGCCAACCATGACAAATGACATCATTGACGGTTTGTGACAGTAAAATACAGAGGTCAACTACACTGAGGCCCAGTGTGATTCCTTGCCAGTTTAGACCAATGAAGATCTGTGAAGAATTGGTCGTCAGCAACCCATGCTTGTCGTGTGAGGCGACTAACAGGGTCGGTCTCGTCTACTTGGCTGACATGTCATTGTATCCCATTTGTGTAGATCAGTGCTCATGACTTGATCACTGGATTGTCTGGTCCAGACTCAATTATTTACAGACTGTGGCCATATAGCTGGAATATTGCTGAGTGTGGTGTTAAACAAGAAACAAACAAATGAAAAACACATTTGTCACATTTACCCACATTATCAGAAGTAGATTTCATGTAATACTTGTGAGGTGAGGTGAGGTGAAATTGGGTTTAACGTCGTGCTTGAGAATATTTCGCTCATATGACGACGTGCATGCGTGTGTATGTGTATGTGCGGCTGCTTGTACTAGCCCAGACTTAAGCTGGTTTTATAGTGCTAGCTCACTGAGATACCATGCCGCAGTGAAGCATGAATACCCCACTTAGACACAGTATACTGACTCCGAGCCGACCAGTCCTTGTTCTACCCATTAATGCCGAGTGCCAGGCAGGGACCAACAAGTACCATAGTTTAACGTCTTTTGGTCGGGGATCGAACCCACGACCTTCCGCACTCCGGGCGGGCAGGGCATTGAACTTGGCCTACGGTGTGATGAGCCTATTTTGCTTCCCATCTTGCAAGTTCTTGAATCAGATATTTTCATGTTTTTATAGATATCATGTGATCTCTGTGCATAATTGTAAGGTTCATGTCTGATGTCATTACACCAACTGTGGCACAAGTCACCAGTAACGGACATTTAGTGACTTTGAACTTCCTGTAAGAGCTACCTTTAATAGAACTGTGGCTCATGTCATGCCATAAACTTGAATCTATGGATAATAATGTAGCCCATGCATAGAAATACCATGTTCTAGTATTTTAGTGTGAAAAAAAGCTCAGCCACAACCCCAGAATCTATTTAGTCAGCTCACCTGGTGCAAGTGAGCTTACTCATCTTGAATCCCTCATCGAAAACATAAATTCCAAAGCTGAGTGAGTGAGTGAGTTTAGTTTTACACCGCACTCAGCAATATTCCAACTATATGACGGCAGTCTGTAAATAAGCGAGTCTGGACCAGACTATCCAGTGATCAACAGCATGAGCATCGATCTGCGCAATTGGGATTTTTATGACATGTGTCAAGGACCTTCACGGGTCTCCAAAGCTGAAGCTGAACATGAAGCATTTTTTGTTCCAACCACTTATAAATGACATGGGAGACATATTGAAAAACTTGGCCACTTGTTTCCAAACATTAATGAAATTTAGTATATGTGTAATTATTCTGCTGCTCCAAAGTTGATGCTCAATTCATCAATTTCAATATCTTCCGAACAAAATGAAATATTGAACACAAGATCCAGGTAAATCATAATAAATTTTATTTGACTAAGACAACAAAACAAAACATCAGCATAAGGAAAATCTCACAAAAATTGTTCAGAAAATAATAAAGATAATCTGTGATAAAATATAAGAAATGATAAAACTCTACGAAGCATGTAATATAAGCAGCGGCGGAGTACAGGTCAATAGGTCAAAGCTGGGGGGCATCTCAAGCATTGTTCCCTGTAATGAAACATATTACCATCCCTTCTAACCCAACTAAGGGTGGGGTGGGGCTTGAGAGAGCAAGAAGGGCGTGGAGAAAAAGTTTGTAAAAGACAGAATCTTTTGGTCACAGTTTGTTTCAAGTAAGCAGGAGACAATCAAATAATCTTACAAACAATTTATCCTTTCAGTGGTGTTTGTCTGTTGTTTAACGCCACACACAGTGTTATTCCAGCCATATGGTGGTGTCTGTAAATAATCAATTTCGGACCAGACAATCCAGTGATCAACAGCATGGGATATGATGACATGTCAACCAAGTCAGCAAGCCTGACCACTCAATCCTGTTTGTCTCCTCTTACAACAAACATGGGTTGCTGGAGACCAATTCTAATGCTCCATGGGCGGAGAGGGATTGGTAGAAGAGTCAGTAACAGTCTCCCACACCTCAGAGAATATAGTGATAAAAGATTCCAACTAACGTCCAGAATGATTGAGCATCCAGATGACCTCATTCTGAAATTAACAGTTATTCTAGGATTCTGGGCTCCTTTATGATTTTATTATGTTTGTTTTGTTTTTGTAGATATAATTATATTTCTTAATCAGATAACTTTATTTCTGGGACTAAATGTAAATGTTGGGAGTCGGGATAGAGCTGTAGGCTCATAGCTGGTAGAAGTGGTGTGGGGACAGATTAGGCATAGAGAGAACAGAGTGTGCAACTCAAAACAACTCAAATCACCCATAGTAATGTAAGAGGATTAACCCATATGTAATGTAGAGGGATTAATAAAGAGATTAAAGACATTATCAGAGGCATAGGGAGAATTCAGAGTGTGCAACTCAAATCACAGAATTAACCCATAGTAATGTAAGAGGATTGATAGAGGGCATTAGGATTAAAACATTATCAGAGGCATAGGGAGAACAGAGTGTGCAACTCAAAACAACTCAAATCAGAGAATTAACCCATAGTAATGTAGAAGGATTAATAAAGGGCTTTAGACATTATCAGAGGCATAGGGAGAACAGAGTGTGCAACTCAAAACAACTCAAATCAGAGAATTAACCCATAGTAATGTAGAAGGATTAATAAAGGGCTTTAGACATTATCAGAGGCATAGGGAGAACAGAGTGTGCAACTCAAAACAACTCAAATCAGAGAATTAATCCATAATAATGTAGAAGGATTAATAAAAGGGCATTAGGATTATATTATAATAAGAAGGATAGCATATGTGCAACTCCAAGCATCATGTAAATCTGAGATTATAATCTCCAAAACAACTAGGAAGCCATGAGTGAAATGGTATCCATGTTACCATACAGAGAGTAAAGCATGGGCTTCTCATGACATGTCGGCACCGGATGTGTTCCCCAGTACAAGGTCAAATACGGTTACTGACTGTTGAAATAAAATACCCCCTGGGAGACCACATCTCCAGACCAAACAAAACCAGTACGGAGAGGAGGCACCACAGATAGGAAATGTGTCACTGATAACATGATCACATGTGAAATGTCTGCAAATGAAAATCAACATTGTCACTTTACTTGGCTTAAAGTGTGTCTATGTACACATATTTTGACCTTTAGTGGTTATATAACAGCTCACACAAGGTATCAACAAACACTAACAGGCAGCCTTCCATCATTTAAATACAGCAAAGATTGAATAATCAATGACTGAATAATTTATTTTACCAAAGCAAGTTGATTTTTCGTAAAACACATCTATTTTGCATTTATTTTTTGACAAAATTAATTTCATTTTCACATCCTGAAACTGATTGTCATGACATAATCTGTAACTATTCCATGACTATAGATTCTTGAAAACCTTTCAACTGACTCTCTGTGCATTTTCAAAAAATATTCTACTCATAAAAAGTTAAAAAACACCAATCTTGTTATCTGAAAATAATTCAGTGAAGGATGCTCAACATGGGTATTCCAACACACAGAATTCCAAGTCTGGATGTTCCATAACTTGTATAGGGTAATATATGGCCTTCACCTTGCAACCATCGGGAGGAACATACAGTTTTCCCATACCATGTTTTCACCGAGCATCAGTTGCATCTTGTTTATACATTCGATGTAGATGCCATGTGTACATGAATACACAATACCAACCATCGTATGTTTTCATAGCCGTGACAATTTACACTCGTCTCGGGGGACACAAAGTAGGTGATCTTGACGACCAGTTGTCACGGTGGCTGAGTGGGTTAGATTGCTGACTTTGTGTTCTGGTTATTAGGTGCCTGACTCTGAGAATGTGGGTTCGAATCCTGGATTGGACTCAACCCTAAAATTACTAGAACCTGTACTTTACTGTATAATTCCAAATATAACACATTTTGCCATATTTAGATGTTCACAAAAAATATAAAAACAAAGATGTAGCAGTGTTAAATGTATATTTCAAGAGCATACAGAATGCAGTTTCAAAACGTGTGTCTGGTTTGTGCACATTTCAAAACAACCCACCCTATATTAACTACAAATTAAAAAATGAAATAATTTTGTTTGGCTTAATGGTATACCGGTATATCATTCTTATATACAAGATTTGTATACTGAAAAGTCTTAAGTTATCACTTTCTTATATACAGGAGTGTTAACTTCTGAAATTGAGTATTATGACATAATTCATATTATCTAGATCTGAATCATTTAGCACCAACCATCCACTATATACGTCAATAACAAAGCTATAGTAGGTAGGCCTAACTAAAAAGATTGATAGTGGAAATATTGTCTTTAAGTGGCATTAAGAAGCTGGTATCCATAAAACAGTGTTCATCTTCAATGGAAATATTGTTAATATCATACACAAACTATTGTGATGAATTACAGTCCGTTTGGCTCAAAAGCGGACTGATGAATTGCCATCTAACTCGAAAACTAATAAACATATAATACCCAATGAAAGGCTGATCATAATCAAAACATCAGACCAACTCTGTGATTTGTTTGCAGAATTTAGTCCTAAAATTAAAAAAGTTGTTTAACAACCTATCATTAAAATATTGACACAGTTCACTATTTATTACTAGGGAGGAGTGCAGAGAAAGGGACAGCCAGGTGTTAGAGAAGCACGTGCACAAGTACCGACAAAGTTATTGATTCATCAACCTGTGCTGTGCCGTCTCCATCCTTTCTCGAACACCTGGCTGTCCCTTTCTCTGCACTCCTCCCTCGTAGCAAATAGTGAACTGTGTCAATATTTTAATGATATTTTGTTAAACAACTTTTTTATTTTTAGGACATGAATTCTGCAAACAAATCACAGAGTTGGTCTGATGTTTTGATTATGATCAGTGTTTCATTGAGTATTTTCTGTTTATTAGTTTTCGAGTTAGATTGCAATTCATCGGTCCGCTTTTGAGACAAACGGACTATAAGTTTAATTTACTCACATAATACACAAAGTTAGGATTTTATTCACTGGCTACTTCTAAATTCTGTTCAGGATGTTGTTTTGTTGGAAACTCACGCAAAAAGATTTCACCTCTCACCAGTAGTATGAAATATATTCATTTCTTTCAGAATTTTCGGGACAATTTTTGCTCAAAGTCACATACAATACAATAGAATATTTATCAATAATTGATTGATATTTAGTTAACCATTATCGATCTGTATGATCCATATCGATAGCCAGCCCTGATAGTAGATAAATGAGAGTTGTAGCATCTATCCAATTAGTACCTACTAAAACAGTAGCTCAGTAGTTGATATCCAAATATTAGTACATTCTTAGTAGTTAAACAAGCAGTAGCTCTCCCAGTGGTAGAAAATAGAAGCTGCTATTCAAATAGCATTTGTCTGAGTAGTAGCTATCCAAATAGTATCTTTCTGGTATGGTAGGGCATGTTGCATTAAATTTAATGATTCAGCTTTTAGGTTCCGTGAGGTCAACGTGCCCTGAGGTTAACGTACCTTGAGGTCAACGTACCCTGAGGTCAACGTACCTTGAGGTCAACATGCCCTTGTTGCTCATAATATCAATCACCAGATTGCCCAATTCGATTAATTACAGACCTTTATCACAAAAAAAATTAAAACAAAAATGTAGAAGAGTTAAATGGGTTTTTTCAAGAATACATAGAATGCAGTTTCAAAAAACATGTGTCTGATGTGTGCATGTTTCAAAACAACCCACCCTATATTAACTACAATTGAAAACAAATGAAATATTACTGAAACAACACACTGAAGTGGTATTGTTCATGTCTCTAGTAATCTCAAACTGGTTTGAAAATAGTTTGCCACATCAAGAACAAGAATTTAATCAGCTAAAATTGTGATTGCATTAAACTTCAAAATTGAATCGTTCGACCTTCAAATCGAGCTTCAGTATTTCAAGATTTGTTCTGAATAAATCTTGCAAAGATGTCAACAAAATACATAACAATGTAGATACACAAGACAATGATAATAATGATAACAATAACATATATAAATATTTTGCTGTCTCCATGTTAGAAAGGTGCTACACAATTCATACCCTGGTACTCTTATGATCTGTATACAAACATTATACGTACCCATCTCCCTGAGGAGTATACCACCAAAGATCCATAATACCCTGGTCATGTGACTTGTGTCCAGTCATAATTCAAACACATCTCCCTGAGGAGTATACCACCTAAGATTCACAATACCCTGGTCATGTGACTTGTGTCAAGTCATAATTCAATCTCTACTCCTTGGGGAGAATACCACCAAAACAACACTATACAGTGATGAAAAATACATCCTGAGGCGTGTACAACTGAAGCTGCCTGAAATGCACTAGAAAGATGGCATTTCATCCTACTTGGTACCCATTCACTGCTGGAGCAACATATAAAAGTCATTAATTCAAGGAAACACCATTATTCTTAGCCTTAGTGTTGAGCGTGACTATCGTCTTAAGAATAAACATTCTGACAAGCAATGTCATCCATAACTCTACTCTCGACGCCAGTGGATTCTGTCAATCACTGCCTCCCACACTCCGGCACAGCATAACATCACTGCCACAGGTTAATTTGCATATCACGTGACCGGACTTATCTCTTGTTTGAAATCAAACGCGCATAATAAGAAGAGACTGGACTCACGAAAACTTTTCGGCGCTCTCTTCATCATGTTTTACATTGTTACATATATATTCTTCCACAACTGCGACAGTTAGGTCTATGACAGTACATATGTAGATATCAAACTGGCCGCATCGTTTGCTCTCCGTCGGCTTCGATGACAGCACATGGAGCCGTACAACCTATGTAAACAAAGGATCGCTACGCAAATCGAAATAGTGTTACATGTTTTTGGATATTTTCTCAGTGAAACTAATTCATTCTATTAAAGATGTTTAGTTAGATGTGTAGACTCGTCAAACATAAAAGAGCAAAAGAAATCTGTACATTATATTGAATGGACGGTGCAAGATCTGACGAATCGTCACATTTTTCGGGCCTGTGGCAGAGGTACTATGCTTGCTTGCCGCATGGAACTCTGGGTAGGAGAGTGATTGCCTCCCTGTCTAGTGCATAAAACAAAGGGTGATTAGCTAAGGAGTCAATATACAGCATCTTGTCTAGCAATGTTAAACTGTGGCATGGTATCTTAGGGCTAGTGATATATATTCGGCCTTAGTCATCATCATCATCATCATCATCATCATCATCAAACTATCATACACACATGAACACTTATCACTAAAAAGTGCAATAATCTTTAACAAGACATTAAACTCTGTTTCACCCCACCTCATATTAAATAAACAACATTAACACTGCCAGAATATGTTTGGACATTTCAATGACGATCTACCCAAGTTATAACACTTTTGTTCTGGGCTATGTGACGGCGTGAGATAACAATTATATAACCGGGAACAGTTTCTGTACAAAACAATGCAGTACTCCATGTTTGTCATATAAAAAAAACAGTGTGTTCACCAGGCTAGAGTTGATATCATAAATGCAGATTAAAATAATGAAAATAATCATAGGTTTTCAGAATGATCCTGAAGACATTTAATGCTAAACTGAGAGGAAAGTCAACAATAACAACATGGATGCATGCCGACATTAATCACCATTAATCACCAGGTGAAACAAATATGCATGAAGACTGACTGACTGAGTTTAGTTTTACGCCGCTTTTAGCAATATTCCAGCAATATCACGGCAGGGGACACCAGAAATAGGCTTCACACATTGTGCCCATGTGGGGAATCGAACCCGGGTCTTCAGCGTGACAGGCCAACGCTTTAACCACTAGGCTACCCCACTGCCCCATATGCATGAAGAACATGTCACTATACATGACCATGGTGCTGACAAACCATTGATAAATGAGGGTGATCTCGGATTGGAACAAATGTATTCAGCTTTAATGGGACAAAACTGCACAGCAAGTTGGATCACCTCAGCCTTGTGAATGGCTGGATGTTATGTGCATGAGTTAGTGAGCTGGATTTCACAATGCTTTCGACAGTATTCCATTTATTATTATGTAGAAGCATCTAAAGTTATGCAGGAGTCAAAGTTTCTGGGTGCTGACAAACCTAGAAACGCAACCGGGGCGAGCTTGGATTTGAACTCACAATGACAGGTTTCTGTCAGTCCAAGGGACACAACTCTGCACAGCACATTGCATCAACTGAGCCACCCGCCCATGTTGTAAGACTGGAACACATTCATAACTGTTGTTCTGGACAACATGCCATAAATGGCATATGCATGATTAACATGGTCAAACAGACAACCAAAGAAATGAGATCATTCACAATGTTCAACTTGGTCTATGTACAAACAATTACTCAACGATTGATAGGGATACACACCTGCACCAAGAGGACAAATATGTACAGTATATTTTCCATACATTTGGACACATCCTAAGAAACTGGTTATCCCTATTCAAATTTGAGTAGTATACACATTAAAACATTTTAACACTGCACCATCAAATTCGATGATTTGTTCTGAGAAAGTACACCTGCAAACTTTCAAGTATAAACATAATTATTATAAATATGCTATGGTACAATATGTTCAGATCAGCTTGATACTCTGTTAATAAAATAAATAATGTTATAACACTATTAATACATTTAGCAATTATTCCATTACTTAAAGAATATATTTATGAATAGAGAAAAATCTAGTACCATAAAAATCGAAACAATCCATTCCAATGGGAAAGTAGTGTGAAATATGTTTGTGATATGTTGACTTTCGTTTTCCCTAATATTTCCAAAATATATTTATAATTCGACATCCTTTATCTGGGGTTCCCAGCAAAAATAGATTGTAGTGCTGCTAATATTCCAATAAAACGATGTTGCTACACTGAAAAGTGATTATCTCCCTTGTTAAGAGGCACGTTGACATGCTCAACAGTTGGCTCAAATATTGGTCACATGCTCAGTTTGTTGTCTAATAACAAAAACTTATAACCAAACATTATAAAATGCTCTTGTGAGTGATGATAAGACAGTCTATACCACAATGTTATCACAGGTCTACATGTGATGGCGATCTGACGCCCTCAAGTCGACAACTCTCACATCCATGGCTATCTCATGACGACCGCACACCTGCAGTCTCAGGTATGTTGGTCTTTGGGTTATAGAAGAGTTGTCCGCTCCTGATTCTCCGAGATAGTTCAGCTGCCAGGAGGCGCTTCTCCTTCTTGACCTTCTTGAGGACGCCTCTATTCTCCATCCCACGGCGGGACAGATAGGGAAGCACTTCCTCCACCGGGCCCGAAGGGAACATACTTGTACACAGAGTAACCAGCCTGACCTGAAGAACATGGAATGGGTGAGGGAATTATCACTTGATGTCCTCAGCATTTCAGTTTGGGCATGCTGTGTCCAAAGTCAATACCCTCCCCAACTTTTAGAGTTATGTCCCCTTGTTAAACTTTCATTACGGCAAAACAGGAGACCTACACATATTAATTCTTATATGCATTTTATTTTGAGAGAGCAAAATTCCCCTGTAATGATGAAGGTAGTCAGATTAGTTCCAGTTCAATCAGTCAGTAAAGTGTAACAAAAATTCAATATAGATGTACTCATTCTTCAATGGCCACCCACATACGATGACAGTCTCCACTTGTTAGAGAATAAACTTAAATGTGTTCATTTTTATGTAAAGAAGACAAGAAACAATAAATGCATTAAGCAGAACTCACTCACACACTCACACACTCACACACTCACTCACTCACTCACTCGGGGTTAGCCTAGTGGTTAAAGCATTCCATTCCACACATGGGTTCAAAGTGTGAAGCCCATTTCTGGTGTCCAATTGCTAGAATATTGCTAAAAGCAGCTAAAACCCAAATCACTCACTCACTCATTCACTCACTCAATCTCACAAAAACCAAGGGTCACAGATTGTAGATATTTACCACTTTCATGGAACCCATGAGCTCACACAAGGTGCTGACCAACCACAGTGACCACACAGCATCCTTGTATCAGCTGACTGTATTAGCATCACCTACCTAGAGGGAAGCTGATCTGATCACACATCCACAGTGACCACACAGCACCCTTGTATCAGCTGACTGTATTAGCATCACCTACCTAGAGGGAAGCTGATCTGATCACACATCCCCAGAAGTTGTCCGACACAGCATCCTTGTATCAGTCGACTGTATTAGCATCACCTACCTAGAGGGAAGCTGATCTGATCACACATCCCCAGTGACCACGCAGCAACCTTGTATCAGCCGACTGTATTAGCATCACCTACCTAGGGAAGCTGATCTGATCACACATCCCCAGTGACCACACAGCATCCTTGTATCAGCTGACTGTATTAGCATCACCTACCTAGAGGGAAGCTGATCTGATCACACAACCACAGTGACCACACAGCATCCTTGTATCAGCCGACTGTATTAGCATCACCTACCTAGAGGGAAGCTGATCTGATCACACATCCCAGTGACCACACAGCAACCTTGTATCAGCCGACTGTATTAGCATCACCTACCTAGAGGGAAGCTGATCTGATCACACATCCCCAGTGACCACACAGCATCCTTGTATCAGCTGACTGTATTAGCATCACCTACCTAGAGGGAAGCTGATCTGATCACACAACCACAGTGACCACACAGCATCCTTGTATCAGCCGACTGTATTAGCATCACCTACCTAGAGGGAAGCTGATCTGATCACACATCCCCAGTGACCACGCAGCAACCTTGTATCAGCCGACTGTATTAGCATCACCTACCTAGAGGAAGCTGATCTGATCACACATCCCCAGTGACCACACAGCATCCTTGTATCAGCTGACTGTATTAGCATCACCTACCTAGAGGGAAGCTGATCTGATCCACACATCCACAGTGACCACACAGCACCCTTGTATCAGCTGACTGTATTAGCATCACCTACCTAGAGGGAAGCTGATCTGACCACACATCCACAGTGACCACACAGCACCCTTGTATCAGCTGACTGTATTAGCATCACCTACCTAGAGGGAAGCTGATCTGATCACACATCCCCAGTGACCACACAGCATCCTTGTATCAGCCAACTGTATTAGCATCACCTACCTAGAGGGAAGCTGATCTGATCACACAACCACAGTGACCACACAGTATCCTTGTATCAGCTGACTGTATTAGCATCACCTACCTAGAGGGAAGCTGATCTGATCACACATCCACAGTGACCACACAGCATCCTTGTATCAGCTGACTGTATTAGCATCACCTACCTAGAGGGAAGCTGATCTGATCACACATCCACAGTGACCACACAGCACCCTTGTATCAGCTGACTGTATTAGCATCACCTACCTAGAGGGAAGCTGATCTGATCACACATCCCCAGAAGTTGTCCGAAACAGATGAGACGATCCTCCGGCCTCACATCGTACTCCTTCATCCTGGCAACAGACAAAACTGTGATGTAGCTGAGGGCAATGCTTTGGCAGACAGATGGATAAAATACTGGCAGATCAATGAACCAGGACAACATGCATGCATGTGTATGTGTGGCTGCGTGTACTAGCCCAGACTTAACCTGACTCCGAGCTGACCAATCCTTCTTGTACCCATTAATGCCGAGCACCAGGCAGGGACCAACGAACTGGGGGATCGAACCCGCCACCTTCCGCTCTCCGGGCGGACACTCTAACCACTACACAAAGGAGGTGGTCCTAAACTGGAAAAAGAAGGCCTACTAGTACCTATGTCCTAAATTTGCCATTAATCCAAACAACTATAGTACTGTCGAAATAGAAGAAGCTGTATTTTCTCAGTTATCTCTACAATTTATGTAGTTGATATGTGCAAGTGTGAAATATCTCTTAAACTAAGTTCGGCCTAACTACAGTCTCAATGGTAGGTACACAAGAAACGTAGAAAAAGGACTTTACTGAGGAGAGATTAGTGCAGAAATGAGCAATGCGATTTTTTTCTAAGTCCAAAACGAATTATTTGGAACAGACCATGGCTGTATGCAAATTAGTGTGCGATGATAATGTATTATAAAGGACACTTTTAAGTGACCAATTTGAAATTAGAGGCGTAGCTTTATTATAAACGATAGCTGGCGTAAAAATAATAACTTTCATGCTGAAAGTATTAAGGATGTGCTACCATGGAGTCTCACTGTCACTATAAAAGAAACAGATAGAAGGGTTCGTCTCAAAAGCAAGCCTGGACGAAGGGTGCGCGAGACAATCGTTAGGGGTCGGGCTTGGGGATAGAGATATCAGCTAAGATACGATAATCCTTTAGGGCAATTATACTGGGGAAGTACACGGCATGTCATAACAATTTACAAATGATATCCAGTCCTGTCGATCTTAGCGATCGGGTGGTCATGCCACCTATATATTTTGAGACATTTAATACGATGCGTTTCTATGGTTATCAGGTATCAAACTCTTTTACATATCTCAACATAAACTTTATGAAAGACAGACACTTAAGCTGTTAATCAATAGATGAGGCATAGTCAACACACATGACAAAAGCACAAAATATCTTTGAGATGACCCTTAGTAGCCTGTAGGCAGCACATGCATTTCATGCCTGGTGAGTCGAAGGTCTTTCGTCACACCTGGCTGAAGCGACCTAATTGCCATCTATAGTCTGATCTATTGTTTTCAGCAGCTATTAAGTATTTTTCTAAGTTGTGCCCGATTTTAAGAGTAAACATGCTTTTCTGGATATCCTATTACGCATCCCACTGAATGCCAAGTTAGGCTGAAGTGGGTTATTTTGACAATGCTATTTGCAGTTGTGTAAATTTTAGGGATACAGAGTAAGAGCCTAAAACAGTTTTTTTCTATTTCGACAGTACTTTAGTACTGTATCACTTTCATTAATTAAACTTTGTTGCTTTCACCCCATTAATGAAAGAGACTGCTTCCGAAGCTTGTGTTACATTCTGAACATAGACCACTGTCCTTCCCACAGACACAAAATCAGACCAACTCACTTCTCAACAGCAAACCTGACCGTCGCTTCGTTGTGACTTGCTACCATCACAGCTATCTTGCCGCGATCTCGGGACTGGATCTGACGGAGCACCTCATCCAAGACGCAGTGGTACATCGCCGTTGTTGCATCGTAGTCGTCGTTGATGGGGTCCTCGTAGTTCAGGGAGGCAGCTCTCTCTCGTTCCTGTCATAAAATGTCCATAGTTGGGCTTCACAATACATTTACCAATATTCAATCACAAAGTGCCCATCTGTGGCAGGAGTTCACATTCCCTTTACCAATATTCAAGCCATGGAACAGAAGTTAATGACATCAATCAAGAATACCTCAACTTCAGCTACATTCCATCCTTTACGATAATACCGACTGGGAAGTTAAACTTCTTTGAGAGGCATTTAGAAGTTGGGGCAGTAAGGAAGGATAACAATATATGGATGAACAACTCTTTTATTGTTGTGAGAGCGACACTTCGGTGTAGGTTCTAACACCGTTATCAAGCAAGTGAAGAAACAATAAAGAAGTTATTCATCCATATATTGTTATCCTTCCTTGGGAAGTTAAAGTTTGTTTGTTGCTTAACGCCACTCAACAATATTCCAGCTACATGCGGTGTTCCGTTAATAATAAACAACCCAGTGATCAACAGCATGAGGACAGTTAAAGTGACATCACAGCTGCTGTATGTCTGACTCACCTGCTCCATGTAAGCACCTCGGACCAGCTTTGCACCAAAGTAAAAGTTTTCTCTTCGTGAAAGGTCAAGGTCAATGAAAATATTGCTGAACGACGACTGGAAAGAAACAGAATCCCATCACTACAGAATCATCTCTATCGTGAGTATCATCTTATGTCGAAGTTTCATTACAGACATGATGGAGAGAGTGAGTGAGTGAGTTAAAATTTAGCGTCACATCGGCAATATTTCAGCCATATCGTGACGAGAACAATTAATTTTATACATAGTAAGTAATGGTAAACTGTAAAAACCTGTCGACGAAGGACAGTAAAACAACTAGAATATCACAATTACAACTAAAACTAGTATGGAGAGTTAAAATTGATAGCACTATTTGGACAATACAATATAAAAACAAGCTATAGACAGCCAACACCAAAAGGTAGATCACCATTCCAGGGACCATGGGGACTTACAGTACCTTGGCTACCTGCATGGACCCTAGTTGGATTTACACCATCCCTTCAGCTGCTGGCGATTGTAAGAAATGTTAGCCAAAATTAAAATGACAAGAATGCTACGTTTAAAAATCCTGGCAAGTTTAAATTGACTTTGAACATTTTGGGACTTACGTACCCTCTCAGGAGGTGATGGAGAGAGTGAATTTATGATAACCATGATAATCATCCTTGCCACATGGCTATATGAATGAAAACAAACTGCAGCAATGTTCATTCAACACGGAGAAACTATGACAAAACAATTCTATAAACTAAGTAAAAAGATGTTCAGTAAGATCCTGAATTATTTCAGATTCACTGACTGACACAAACAGATATGACCCGAGTAAGTCTCTGTCCAAATATGGGAGTAATAGTGCCAAGATCATTCATTTGACAAGGGAGGCAGAGCTCAGCCAGGTAGGTGATGAAGTTGGGAGTCAGATTAGATAGAGGGAGAATACCACCTGAGATGGCTGCATCGAGTGTTGCTTACCTTCAGTCAGCACTGGTAAGTGAGTGAGTTTGGTTTACCATTAATATCCCTACAGGGGACACCAGAATTGGTCTTCACACATTGTATCCATGTTAGGAATCTAATCCCAGCTGTCTGAGTGACAGGCAAAATGCCTCAATCACAAGACTTTCCCACTGCCCCTGTTGATGATGACTCAAGGGTAGCTTACCTTCAGATAGCACTGGTAAGTGTTGAAGATGACAGCCCTCTCTCTGTTAAATTTTCTCATCATTTCCATCGTCAGACGACTGATGGCTGGCTGGAAGTAGGTCTGCTCCGCATCAATCATCACTCGAACCTCCTTCTCTGAGGCATACTGCAACACAGTTGGGATCAAAATGATGTCTGGCAAAGTCAAGGGATAGTACAGAGAAAACACTTCCCAAGCTTTGGTTGAAAATGAAAACATGACTGAGAGGAATAAGGCCAGAGGACTTTACCCAACCAAGAGTGTCTTCTCTGGAATATTAACCATACACCACCACAAACAATGTTGAACTTTAAATGTTCTACTCTCCAAAGAAATACATGATTCCAATCACAAACTGGTTCAGAGATTAACATGAGGATCACTAGCAACACATGTAGAAAGCAGGTTATAAACACATGGTTCAGGCAAGGCAATTAACAGTAATGACTGGTGTGTGAGAGAAATGATTTGATCGATTGTTTGGAACCCGTGAAGATCCTGGTTAGAACTGATCTTCATTAACCCATGCTTGTCGTAAGAGGCAACTAACAGGATTGGGTGGTCAGGCTTGCTGACTTCGTTGACACATGTCATCGTATCCCAGAGTGATGCTCATGCTGTTGATCACTGGATTGTCTGGTCCAGACTCAATTATTTACAGACCGCCACCATATAGCTGGAATATTGCTGAGTGCGGCTTTAAACAACAATAAATCAATAGACTGTTTGAAAGGACAGATCATTGTAGGGAGTACTTGTCTTGCCATTGAGTAAAATTATGTTAGCGATCTCTGGTTTTGGATCATTTGACATTGTGACTCTAATGTGAGAGTCTTTTAATATCAAATATGGCAACACAATTTGCTGTAACATTAGCATATGCCTCACCCACCTGCACAAGGGTGTTGATTCTGCGCAGCATGTTCTTCATCTGGTTCTCTTCCTCTGCACTCAGTGTCATCACCAGGGACTTGGACTCTCCTGTCTAGAACAAACAATAATCCCCTTTTTAGTGAACTGTTCCATCTAGCATACTCAACCCCATTTAATAGTGGGTTCTCCCATCTAGAAAACACAGACACACATTAACAATATGATTGTGGACTCGCCAAACTTCAACACACAACTCTGTCTTATTAATGGACTCTCCCACAAAGAACACACACTAACCCTGTTTTGCAATAGACTCTCCCACTTTCTTCAGTTTCATTTATACTTCACTGAAAACTCAAAGCATTATTTCAGACAAGAAGACAGTGGATATGAGTGTGTGTTTTGTGTCATTTCTTTATTGAAGAAATGTCTGGAACAACTTACTTTGATGTTTGACACCATGAGGAGTTTGGACAGACCCATGTTCAGCTCCAGAAGGTTCTCCCAGTCCAGCAGATCCACTTCACTACAAAAGGATAAAACCATTTACTTCAGTTTAGCTTCCGCTCTCAGAATGAAATTATGTATTTTTTAATTTAAATGAAATAATTACAAACACCATTTTTCAGACTTTGAAGTAAAAGTTTGTTATTTAAATGTTCCTTATTTGGTAATCATGTTATGGTTGTGTTGAATCTTGGATAACTTGATTCACTGATGTCCCTTCAATTTTGACACAACACAGTTTGACTGATATTTATATAATAATTCTTTCTAAAGTATTGACAACCAAAGAAAAATAATAATTCCAAAATAATAATAATAAGAGGCCATTTATATAGTGCCTTTCCATGTCACAGGGTTATGATCAAAGTGCTTCCTGAGCTCAAGTTAAAACTATATACAGCTGGTAGGTACGGATGATTGGAAGTCACTTGTAGCAGAGAGATGGAATTAATGAAAGAGTTCTATAAACAAAGATAAAATCACCCCCAAAATGTCTGAAAATATCATAGCCCCTAGGTCTAGTGCTAGTTTCATCCCTGACATGCGTTTTTAATTGACATATCAAAGAGTTACTCCCCTTTCAATCTTTCCTCTTGAGAAGACTATAATTGCACATGATCTGAGACTTTTCACAGTTAAGACTATCATGCTAATTCAGCATGGCTAGTAAAACTCCAGTCGGGCCAATACATCTCCAGCCACTGACCTGACTGGCTAGTGAATTTTCATGGGGTTATTTTGTAAATATGTCACTCTCTCCGACTTGTGAGGAGAGGTGAGGTGAAATTGGTTTTTTTGAGAATATTTCGCTCATATGATGACGTGCATGCGTGTGTATGTGTATGTGCGGCTGCTTGTACTAGCCCAGACTGAAGCTGGTTTTATAGTGCCAGCCCACTGAGATACATTGCCGCAGTGAAACATGAATACCCCACTCAGACACATTATACTGACTCCGAGCCGACCAGTCCTTGTTGTACCCATGAATGCGGAGCGCCAGGCAGGGACCAACAAGTACCATATTTTAACGTCTTTTGGTATGACGCGGTCTGGGATCGAACCTCTCTGACTTGTTCAGTTATGATACAATTTTGAATCATGCAAGATTATGGCCTGATAAAAATGTTCATCATATTAGAAGCCTAATGATGAAACCATTGTCATCCCGACAGTATCTTATTCTCTTCTATTTTGGTAATCTTTTGCTTAGTTTCTACATTCAGATTTAGGGCAAGTGAATTATGTTGTGGCTAGTAACTTTCAGGCATAGCTAGCCCAACTGGAAAACATTTTGCCCACTGTGCTAATTCAATCTTAAACTATGGGATGACAAATAAAAACAAAAACTTGCTTTCCATATCTACCCATCCATAGCATAGTCAAACAAATCACAATGTGACACACCCTCATTCTGCCACAGCCATGAGGATATCCATGTCCATTTCTATTCAATTTGGACATCCATATGCATTCCTTGCACCAGCTTAGCTTTGTTTTGGAAGCTATATCACCAGCTTGATATCACTAATCACTAAGTCGGGTGGTCAGGCTTGCTGACTTGGTTGACACGTCATCATATCCCAAATGCATATGATGTCAATCACTGGATTGTCTGGTCCAGACTCGATTATTTACAGACTGCCGTCATACAGCTGGAATATTGCTGAGTGCTGCATTAAACAGCAAACACCAACCACTATATTTCTAAGAAAAAATATCTTTGTCTCACCCATCCTTGGTGACGTCAAGCACTGAAAACCACTTCTTGGACTCGTCTTGAGTGATACGGATGTTCATCCTCTGCAACGCTTCCAGGAAGTGTTCCTCCTTCACACTCTTGCTGCTTATGTCCCCCCTCCACTCCACAGATGCTGTCGAATACGTTACGGATTGACACCAACACTTCCGTCATCTGCAGCTGCAAGAAGAAACACAGAAGTAGATTTAGTATAGTCATACATTCCTGATAGTGTATCCTGTTCAGGATAAAACATTTTGTCAAAATATATCAAAAACATACGATCGTAAAACTATTATAACAATGACTACACCTTCCTCATCAGGACCCTCCTAAAGCCATTCAACTGTTGTCATGTTGTTTTGCTATTGGTAGCAATTGTGACAAATTTAATACAGTTTGGGAAGTATGTTATTTGCTGGATGTTGATTTGTATCTAATGGCAAAGTGGTCTTTTGTACCCAACATGTAATTCATGAGAGAGAGCTGAGAGGGGGTTGTGCACACTTATGGTCTTTAACCTATGGGGTGTTTGTTATCATATATAGCAGGCATCTAAGGCACCAACAGCTAGTTATTGCAATTCTCTATTAGGACAGACCAATTTTATTTCTTGTTTTACAGATTTTTGTCCTCAGTAAACCTAAAGGCAGGAGGGGAAAAAAATATTAAAAAATCACCAGTCAAAGTAAAATCCCACATAAGTTTTTCAAAGCCATTATTTTTCAAGTTCACACTTGCTGAGGTGCCCAAAGCACTGATTTCTAACACAAAAATTGGTAGATAATTCCGTTTACAGTCTCCGTTTTAATGTCCAACAAACTGCCTTGCGCAGCCAAAGTCTCGCTCCTGTATATCTTAAAGTTTTAGCGAAAAAAATTTCTTTCTTATTCTTGAAATAAATATGACCAGCGGATCCGTAAAACAAGAAATAAAATTGGTCTGGCCTTATGACGAGAATCAATGATCATGGTGTCAAGAGCAGATTCATGAGCCTAGGTGTCTCAGCACCATACCTGTTCTTGTGGATTTCACCAAATGACAGACAATCAATACCTGCATTACTCTGGGCCTTGCTCCAATGTTAAAGAGACATGCTGACATATATCACTACTAATGATTAAAGGGGCGGTGGGGTAGCCTAGTGGTTAAAGCAATTGCTCGTCATGCCGAAGACCCGGGTTCGATTCCCCACATGGGTATAATGTGTGAAGCCCATTTCTGGTGTTCCCTGCCATGATATTGCTGGAATATTGCTAAAAGTGGCGTAAAACTAAACTCACTCACTCACTAGTGATTAAATTGATAATTCTGTGGTCATGTGACCTTGACCTACCAGAAGCTGTGGTCGACCTAAGGCGGTCAGTTTCACTGCAGCCAGACCAGACTTTTCTGTTGCATCTACAAGTTAAACATTTCTATCAATTACTCACCACAAACTGGTTCATTTTAAAGCCAGGGTCCATTTTCACAATGTGATCATAGCTATATAACGTATGTGAGTCTGTGTTTTAATGTGGTAGTCAAGAGAGTAATAATGCTATTGTTTCTTTGTGTGACATATAGTTACATGTATGTTACAGGTACATGTTTACCTGATACAGCGTCTATGCAGTTACTGGTGAGTGCTTACTTAATACAGAATCTGTAGAATTACAGGTGTTTACCAGATACAGCATCGTTACAGACATGTTACAGGTGAGTGTTTACCTGACACAGCATCTATACAGTTACAGGTGTGTTACAGGCATGTTACAGGTGAGTGTTTACCTGACACTGCATCTATACAGTTACAGGTGTGTTTCAGGTGAAAGTTTACCTGACACAGCATACAGTTACAGTTACAGGCATCTATACAGCTACAGGTGTGTTTCAGGTGAGTGTTTACCTGACACAGCATCTATACAGTGTACAGAGTGACACAGCATGTTTACAGGTGTGGCTCAGGTGAGTGTTTACCTGACACAGCATCTATACAGTTACAGGTGTGTTTCAGGTGAGTGTTTACCTGACACAGCATCTATACAGTTACAGGTGTGTTTCAGGTGAGTGTTTACCTGACACAGCATCTATACAGTTACAGGTGTGTTTCAGGTGAGTGTTTACCTGACACAGCATCTATGTTTACCTGACACAGCATGACACTATACAGTTACAGGTGTGTTTCAGGTGAGTGTTTACCTGACACAGCATCTATACAGTTACAGGTGTGTTACAGGTGAGTGTTTACCTGACACAGCATCTATACAGTTACAGGTGTGTTACAGGTGAGTGTTTACCTGACACAGCATCTATACAGTTACAGGTGTGTTACAGGTGAGTGTTTACCTGACACAGCATCTATACAGTTCATAAAGGTCTCCAGGTTGCCATCACAGTGAGCCTCATCCTCATAGAAGTACGTTCTGGCGCTGATCACCTTCTCACGGCGGTCACCAAACTCTTTGTGTGCTCGGTACCGGACATCCCGCTCAGCTGATAACATAGAAAGTCATACATGGTCATCAAAAATATTCTTGTTGTTTTTCCAATTTTGTGTTAGCTGACTTCTTCATGACCTAATATTTTAAACAAGTGTAATGTATGCACAAACTGACTCCTGAGGATTAAATTACAAAACATACAATGGCAGTTTTATCAACATAACAGGAAACATTTATAATTTAATGCTAGTATCTTCATGGTTTGATAGGATCACCAAAAGCCTTTGACTCAGGCAAGCCACCCAACTCTAACTCATTTCTTGCAAATGTCTATCTATCCATCCCATGACCATCAAAATACAAACCCTAATCATGACATGGTCAGGATCAAAAACCTCTCCACCAACCCCACTTCATAAAGCTTGGCAGGTGTCCTACTTTAGGTTTACATATGCCAGCTGTTTTTAACCCTACTATCATGAATATTCAAGCATATAACATGGGACTGCTCACACATGATGGAGAATCAAACTAGGGCTGTTGGTGTAATGAGCAAACACTTTAACCACTAGGCCACCACCAACCCCCAGCACAATAGAACCCATATAGTAGTTGTGTAGTATATACACACATGAAAGAAGGATGTAGTTTCAATGAAGCAGGAAATTAAATCACATATTCCTTAAAAACAAGAATTTAATTTTATATCTATGTGTGCTTTCCCACTTCCTATACCACTGGATGCATGGGTATGGGGGCTTGTGACTTTTTCTAAAACCTTGATGGAGCCCCTGTTACACTCAAAATAAATTACATATGCCTTGCATCATTGGAAAAAGAATAATGTGTCCTTTCCATGCAGACTATACTTAAGATAGGTAATTGAGAACCCTGTTCACATTTTGAAAATAATTGAGCATTAAAAAATCTGAAACCATACCACAGACTCCACAAACAATCAAATGGATGCTCCCTTACGAGGAGGAGTTAAAATATAAACAAGTGACTACACTGGTCTGTCGTGTGATCCCATACCAAATATTCTTATAAGTTTCTTATAAGATTCTTATAAGTTTCTTATAAGATTCTTATAAGTTTCTTATAAGATTCTTATAAGAAACTTATAAGAATTTTGTATGCAAATTAGATAAGAACTTATAAGATTCTTATAAGATTCTTATATGTTTCTTATAAGATTCTTATATGTTTCTTATAAGATTCTTATATGTTTCTTATAAGATTCTTATATGAATGTTATAAGAAACTTATAAGAAACTTATATGAATCTTATAAGAAACTTATAAGATCTTATAAGGTAAAACCGTACGGGATAGATCAATGTCCACGACCCCTACAACAACTAAGGTCATGGGGCAGTGGGGTAGCCTCATGGTTAAAGCGTTGGCTTGTCACGCCAAAGACCCAGGTTCAATTCCTCACATGGGTACAATTTGTGAAGGCCAGGTCTGGTGTCCCCCACCATGATATTGCTGGAACATTGCTAAAAGCAGCGTAAAACCACTCACTCACTCACGCAGGTTGATGTGACCCATGAAGAAACCAAAGCGGGGATCAGTATGACAATAGCAACAAAGTCATACTCACTCACTGATGTGACCTCATCAGGTTGATGTGACCCAAGAAGAACACAGCGGGATCAGTATGACAATAGCAACAAAGTCATGAGTCACTGGGTCCTGTTGTTATCAAATATATCCTGGTTGTCAGAATTAACAATCAGGACCAAAGTATTTCACATTGGTGTTGTAACTATCATGAGTGTATGTTTATCTGTGGGATTGACTTTTCAGTGTTACTTTAGGCTGTCCATATTTGTTTCTGTGCTTCCTATCTCCCAACGGTTTGGAATTTTCATTCCAACATGAAATAATTAAAAACAATTTATCTCAGTTTTCCCTTCTGAAATTTATGCACTGGTGTGATAAACTAAATATTCTTTCCCTTCAACCCTAAAAACTCCAGGTCATCTTCATCTTTCTTGTTGTTTGTTTTAAAGCAAAGTGACTTGGTCTACATCATGAACTATTTTAAGACCACACAGTAAACTAAATTTCATAATTTTGCACCAAACACTATCAGTTACACAGTGTTTTTTATTGATTGTTTCTGCCTGTCCACTCTCTTGCAGGCTGAGGTCAAAGATGCGAAACACATAAAAAATATGGATGGCCTATCACTTAAGTGTCCATAACAATATCTAATCTTTGATGTCTCAATCAGCAGTAGTCCAGCTCTTTGAATGGATGAATCTAGACCTTCGATCTATGCAATAAGGAAACGGTGACATCCATCAACAGTGTATGAAATAAGCCAAAAACCCAGCCAGACATCAGTCCAGTAACTTCAAAATGTTACCAGCCCAAAATGGATTTAACCAGACCAGACAATCCAAAGAAAATTACTCACATGAACGGAACATGTTATCTAAATTTCTTACCAGGCCATCAGGCTGGCTAACTGTAAATTTAGACCGTCTTTCAGAAATCTAACCCGTCTCGGGCATTCGGACACGCCTATTTCATACCCTGCCATCAACTAAGTCAGTGTGCTAGACCACCCAATCCCGTCAGTCAACTCTTACAACAAGCATAATGTACCGGGTGCCGTTGTACAAAGTGATCTTAGCGCTAAGGTGACTGTAACTCCCATACCTTAACATAGACTTAAGGTAGTCTTATCGCTAAGGTGACCGTAACTCCCATACCTTAACATAGACTTACGGTAGTCTTAGCGCTAAGGTTGTTTTATACAACAGCACCCTGGATACTGATTCTAACCCTGATTTTCAAAAGTAATATTTATACGTGATTATATTTTTATCACATGTTATTACATCCAATAAAGACATTAAATTTGGAATACAAATATATGGTACACACTGTCTGGTGCAATAGAATAGAGTGTCTCCAAATTACAGAATTACACAAACTGACTGACACTCAGTTTGGTTTTACGCCACTTTTAGCAATATTCCAGCAATATCACGGCGGGGGACACCACAAATGGGCTTCACTCATTGTACCCATGTGGGAATTCGAACCCGGGTCTTCGGCGTGACGAGCCAACGCTTTAACCACTAGACTACCCCACCGCCCCTTACACAAACTGATTCAACTGTAGCAACTGGTTAGACTTAACTATTCTTTTCTGTTTAGTAATATCACCACTGTTCGGAGAATACACATGAGTGAAAAAAAAACAACGAAACTGAGCCGGAGGTCTTGGGGGCCGCAAGTCCCCATGCCAGATCCAATGACCCAATGATCAAATCCGTGGAATTCTGCAGATCCGCAGAAAATTCGCATCCCTGAATACCAGTCTGATTTTCTGAACTAACATCGCTTTGTTCATAGGCCATATTTAATAAGTCACCTTTTACATGGGTCCCTATTCACAAAGCCAGCTGAGCAAAGCACCTATCATAAGCCTAAGTCTATGGGAGTTACAATTATCTTAGCACTAAAATCACTTTTGGAATGGGGCCCCAGACAATAGTGAATCCTAATTACTTCAAAATTACAATGATTGTCACGGGCCAAGAAAAGTTTTCTGACAAAATCCCATGGTTCATAACACAAAAACTGTGAACCTACATATGCTACTGAAAAACAAAACAAAGTTATTTAACCTCAGGATCGTTAGCTATTCAGATAAAGTGATCGTTAGCTATTCAGATAAAGTGATCGTTAGCTATTCAGATAAAGTGATCGTTAGCTATTCAGATAAAGTGATCGTCAGCTATTCAGATAAAGTGATCGTTAGCTATTCAGATAAAGTGACCGTTAGCTATTCAGATAAAGTCAAACTGCTGTGTGCATGAATTTTCGCGAATAATAAATATTCATGATGATAACGCCAACATAACCTAAAATTTATCATTTTCACAACGTACAACATATTCAAAACACACATCACAGCACTCTAAATTTATACACAATAGAATAATTTTTATTTAACAATACAATTTTCACAATGACCCTTATACTTCCTTCACTTGGAATTAACACACTATAAAATTTAATATTGATGCAAAAATGACATGTCAGTTCATATCAACATGATTATTCTGCAGAGAGGTAACAGATGCGAGAACATAATATCTAAGTAAACACCATATCTGTGTACACAACACAAAAGACATTTCAAAAATATATATTTCGGAGAAGGGTCTTGTTATATGACCCAAGTGGTGTGCTGTGCAGTGAACAAAATATTAGTACATTTAAGAAAGACCACAAGCTAAAAGTGAACACAACATCATCAGTTTCACGTCTATAAAAAATAACATTAGTGTCAAATCTGTCAAAAAGAAGACTCATTTCGCTTATATATTGTTACACTGAGGGTAAAAATACAGAGAAATAGTGTCAAAATGTGAAACAGAGAAAACAAATCTGTGAAAATCCTGTACAATCTGACTCACTTCTGTATTTCTCCTGAATGTACATAATGGCAGCATAACAGAATAATTTCCTTAATTGTTTGATGCCTAGATTAGCAATGAATAAACAATGCCATTTAGAGAGTGGTTAAATGCAACATATGTAATATTTGGGATTTATGATAGTTTCTCTGTGAAGTTCAGATTCTAGGACATTTTCAGGTTGAGTCCCAAGCAGGATTTGAAGCCACACTATCAGAATCAGGTACCTAACTGCCAGCACACAAAGCTAGTAATCCAACCCCGTCAGCCACAAAAACAGAAGTATGACAGATGGTCATCTAGACCATGTATGTTGTGCACTTCCTGATATAACCAGTAACACCTTGTTGTTGTTGTTGTTGTTTTTCTCGGAGTGGTTGTGGACGTGGATGTGGATGTGGTTGTGGTAATGGTAGTGGTTGTTGATGTGGATGCAGAGTGGATGTGGTTGTGGTAAAGGTAGTGGAATGGTAGTGGATGTGGTTGTGGTTGTGGTTGTGGTTGTGGTTGTGGATGTGGATGTGGATGTGGATGAGGATGAGAATGTGGTTGTGGTTGTGTTGTGGATGAGGATGTGGTTGTGGATGTGGTTGTGGTAATGGATGTGGATGTGGTAAAGGTAGTGGATGAGGATGTGGTAATGGTTGTGGTTGTGGATGTGGATGTGGATGTGGTTGAGGATGTGGTTGAGGATGTGGATGTGGATGTGGTTGTGGTTGTGGTAATGGTAGTGGTTGTTGATGTGGATGCAGAGTGGATGTGGTTGTGGTAAAGGTAGTGGATGTGGTAGTGGATGGTTGTGTGGTTGTGGTTGTGGATGTGGATGTGGATGTGGTTGTGGATGTGGATGAGGATGAGAATGTGGTTGTGGTTGTGTTGTGGATGAGGATGTGGTTGTGGATGTGGTTGTGGTAATGGATGTGGATGTGGTAAAGGTAGTGGATGAGGATGTGGTAATGGTTGTGGTTGTGGATGTGGATGTGGATGAGGATGAGGATGTGGTTGTGTTGTGGATGAGGATGTGGTTGTGGATGTGGATGTGGATGTGGTTGTGGTAATGGATGTGGATGTGGTAAAGGTAGTGGATGTGGTTGTGGTTGTGGTAATGGTTGTGGATGTGGATGTGGATGTGGTTGTGGTTGTGGTTGTGGATGTGGTTGTGGTTTTGGATGTGGTAGTGGATGTGGATGAGGATGAGGATGAGGATGTGGGTGTGGATGTGGTTGTGGTTGTGGTTGTGGATGTGGTTGAGGATGTGGATGTGGTTGTGGTATTGGATATAGATGTGGTTGTGGATGTGGTAGTGGATGAGGATGTGGATGTGGATGTGGTTCTGGTAGTGGATGTGGACGTAGATGTGGATGTGTTAGTGGATGTGGATGCTGTTAAGTTATTGTCATTGTTGCTGTCATTGCTGTTGTTCATATGTCTGAGTCAGACACATGTTTATAGGACAGACAATGATTCATGTTGTACATGTCACACATTTCATCCACTGCCTGTCTCAGATGTGGCTGGGTGTATGTAACACATATTCCAAGTGTCAACCTGTACCATATCACTACTGTTTACTGTCTCACTTCGGTCATGACTTAGGTAGTAGCTCAGGTAGTGGTTCAGGTAGTGACTTGGGTAGTGACTTGTTACTGACTTGAGTAGTGACTGGGGTAGTGATCTGAGTAGTGACATGAGTAGTGACTTTAGTAGTGACTTGGATAGAGACTTGGGTATTGACTGCGGTAGTGACTTGAGTAGTTCCTAGGATAGTGACTTGGATAGTGGGATCAGTAGTCGCTTGGATAGTGGGATGGGTCACTGCTTTTGGGTAGTGACTCAAGCTGTGACTTGAGTAGTGAGCTGGGTAGTCGTTTGGGTTGTGTTTTTTGGTTGTAGCATGGGTAGTGATTTGAATAGTGAATAGGATATTGACTTGGGCAGACTGCTCATAATGCTCTACCCACCACCGAGTAACTATTCACAAACATACATTAATTCACTATTGAAAGGATGAAAACCTATATGACAGAGTATTCTGATTATTGTAAACATAGACTGTCACAATGACATTTAGTTATTCTAACAACAGCTGGATAGAATATTTTAAAGTTATATATATTCTCTGAAAAACTATATACTTCATGTTTCCAGTAAGTCACTGACATACCTACATTCAGATTTAGTACATGGCTCCCTTCTGGATAAAGGCGGTCGGGTAGCCTAGTGTTCAAAGTGTTCACTCATCACGCTTGAAGGCATGGGTTCGATTTCCTGTATGGGTACAATGTGTGAAGAACATTTAAGGTGTGCCTCACCATGATATTGCTGGAGTTTAGCTTTGAGATGTGTACTGTAAAACCCAACTCTCACTTACTCATCTGGGCTGAGGTGAATCTGGTAGGCTGACTGTGTGTCATAGGATAGTGTGTCACTAGGGGATTGTATGTTGGATTCAGGACAGATGGATCTGGTGGGCTGAATGTGTGTCATAGGATAGTGTGTCACTAGGGGATTGTAAGTAGGATTCTAGACAGATGGGTCTGACTGTAGGCAGGCCCTGATTGCACAGATCTTTGTCAACTCTTTTGTTCAAGTTGAACCCTGCACACTCACACACGCTGAATATCAGCACAGATGTGACAAAGCATAGTGCTTGACTAGACAGTAAATAACTATAAACATTACATTGATTTCAAGTTGCAACACAGCATTACAAATGTCAGTTTGCCTTTTCAGTCCCGTACTAGTTATCCACTGCCATATTTGCCGCCTTCAGGAGAGATACAGAGTTACACAATACACAGAGGCTAAAACACTTACCATCTCCTGGAGGGCAGAGAGAATAATCAAATATTGAATTTGTTTTCAGCACATTCAACAAGAATAGGATTTTGAAAAGGAGAGATTTTATTCTAATTCAGCCTTTTAATCCACACTTGTCCAATTCACATTCAGCAATGTAAATTAATCAAACTGCCTGCCCATCCATCCACATATTCCATTTTCTATCCATCATCCATCCATTGTTCAACTCCCATCCATATAGTCACCCATTCAAACACACATCATCCAACTACACATCCATTATCCAACTATGTATCCACTGACCATCCATCCATTCATCCATCCAAATATTCATCCATCCATCCAACTACCCAACTATCCATCCATCGTCTAACTACCCAACTATCCGTCCATAATCCGACTACACAACTATCGATGCATCCATCCAACTACTCAACTATCCATACATCCATCCAACTACCCAACTATCAATCCATCATCCAACTACCCAACTATCCATCCATCATCCAACTACCCAACTATCCACCCATAATCCAACTACCCAACTATCTATGCATCCACCCATCCAACTACTCAACTATCCATACATCCATCCAACTACCCAACTATCCATCCATCATCCAACTACCCATCCATCATCCAACTACCCAACTATCAATCCATCATCCAACTACCCAACTATCCATCCATCATCCAACTACCCAACTATCCACCCATAATCCAACTACCAAACTATCTATGCATCCACCCATCCAACTACTCAACTATCCATACATCCATCCAACTACCCAACTATCCATCCATCATCCAACTACCCATCCATCATCCAACTACCCAACTATCTATGCATCCATCGATCCATCATCCAACTACCCAACTATCCATCCATCCAACTACCAAGTATCCATGCATCCATCCAACTACCCAACTATCCATGCATCCATCCATCCAACTACCCAACTATCCATGCATCCATCCAAGTACCCAACTATCTATGCATCCATCCATCCAACTACACAACTATCCATCCATCCAACTCCCCAACTATCCATCCATCCAACTACCCAACTATCCATGCACCATCCAACTACCGAACTATCCATCCAACTACACATCCATTATCCATCCATTATCCAACTATGTATCCACTGACCATCCATCCATTTATCCATCCAAATATTCATCCATCCATCCATGCATCCATCCATCCAACTACCCAACTGTTCATGCATCCATCCAACTACCCAACTATCCATGCATCCATCCAACTACCCAACTATCCATGCATCCATCCAACTACCCAACTATCCATGCATCCATCCAACTACCCAACTATCCATGCATCCATCCAACTACCCAACTATCTATGCATCCATCCATCCAACTACCCAACTATCCATCCATCCAACTCCCCAACTATCCATCCATCCAACTACCCAACTATCCATGCATCCATCCATCCAACTACCCAACTGTCCATGCATCCATCCAATTACCCAAGTATCCATGCATCCATCCAACTACCCAACTGTCCATGCATCCATCCATCCAACTACCCAACTGTCCATGCATCCATCCATCCAACTCCCCAACTATCCATCCATCCAACTCCCCAACTATCCATGCACCATCCAACTACCCAACTATCCATGCATCCATCCATCCAACTACCCAACTATCCATGCATCCATCCATCCAACTACCCAACTATCCATGCATCCATCCAACTACCCATGCATCCATCCAACTACCCAACTATCCATGCATCCATCCAACTACCCAACTATCCATGCATCCATCCAACTACCCATCCAACTACCCAACTGTCCATGCATCCATCCATCCAACTACCCAACTGTCCATGCATCCATCCATCCAACTACCCAACTATCCATGCATCCATCCAGCTACCCAACTATCCATGCATCCATCCAACTACCCAACTATCCATCCAACTACCCAACTGTCCATGCATCCATCCAACTACCCAACTATCTATGCATCCATCAATCCAACTACCCAACTGTCAATGCATCCATCCAACTACCCAACTATCCATGCATACGAGGGTCGATCAAAAAGTATGTAGCCTAACTATATTCTTGATGTATAATGTTTGAAAAGCTTCCAGTTTATTTTGAAGGAATCGTTAGCAAATCTGTATCTAAAATTTCACATGTGTGGGTAATGTGGTTAACCAGATATTTGTCATCACAACACATTGGGGTATAACATTTCTAACAAAATTGCAGAAAATGAAAAGCTATTTGTCTTTTGGTACCTCTTGGATAATGGTATGCCCTCAGATAATGTCATATAAAATATGTTCAGTATAGTATTGGATGACTTCTCGTCATGATCAACAGTCAAAGATTTGGATTGCCTGATTTATATTTAGTCGGGGGCTATTTTTTAAGGTCACCCCCATTTAATCTTTCAAAAACATTGTGTCCAGATATTCAAATTGGCACTGTTTACAATATATTGTGAGCTGACACTTGCGTGACCATTTAGCATTTAGTTTGAACCCTGTATGTTTGAACATCATGTATGCATAAGTGAAAACATTAGAATAAGCTATGCCCTTATGATTACATCATCTGAAAGGGGGATAGGTAGTGTCCCCAAAACAAGCTCTTTCAGTCATCATAAAGGGGGGAGTCACTTTGACAAGCGATTGTAATTTCAAATTGCTTTTTAAGGAACTTTAATATGTAAGTGTGATTCTAGGGGACTTCTATCAATCTCAAACACACAAAATATGTCTTGCATATTTTGTTTCCTGAAGTTTTTAATGACTGACTGACTTAGTTTGGTTTTACGCCGCTTGTGCCCATGTGGGGATTCGAACCCGGGTCTTCGGCGTGACGAGCCAACGCTTTAACCATTAGGCTACCCCACCGCCCCTAGTTTTTAATGCATTTATTGTAGATTTTGTGTTTTTTTAGGGTACCAAGATAAAAGGTCAAACAAAATGGGGATCGTGAGACTGGAACATAGCAAAACAAAATTGCTTGAGCTTGACAGATAATATGTTGAAAAATAAAACATAAAAATATCTGCATTTGTATCGTTTTCTTGGTGATTCTACATACTTTTTGATCGCCCCTCGTACATACATACAACTACCCAACTATTCATATATCCATCCATTCATCCATCCTTGAGTCCTTGTGCTTCGCTCTTACCTGCTGCAGCTTCAGTCTCAGTCTCTGAAACACAGCTCCTGCACAAGAGAAAGACACAGGTCAACTTCAACAGTACAGCAGAGAGAATAACTGGTATGATGCTGTCCTCACACAAGGTAGCACATCATTTTGCTCTGATGGTTACATTATCAATATGCATCATGCAATGTTGTAAGATACAGGTTTTCTGGCCAAGATTCAATTATTTTCAAGCAACTGCGATATAGGCTATTACTATGCAAACATATTTTTCCAGCTACCTGATTGGTCTAGAGGCGGACTCCAACCCAGGTCCGACCAAAAGTCATATTGACCTGAGTTACTATCACGTCAAGCTAAGACATTGGTAATTACATAATAAAACAATTATAGACTGGCAAATTCGGTAAATACCTGTTTTTATGGACCCGAGAAAAGCGATATTTGTCCTCGGTCAATATGGCTTTTCGCAGGTCCATAAAAACAGGTATTGACCTCATCACCAGTCTATAATTGTATAATATTGCTGAGTTCAGAGTTTGACAAAAAATAGACAGGGCTGCGTGGTATTGCAGGTGTACTGGAATACTGCATTCTGCTTTTCAAACAATAAATACTACACTATTTGTCTCTGTTACTGTACATTAGGTAGACAAATACTTCAAGCTTTACTTTTTTTAGTATCAATGTGATGTTAATCACTAGACTGTCAGGTCCAGACTCGATTATTTACAAACCGCCAACATATAGCTGAAATATTGCTGAGTACTATGTAAAAAACTAAACTCACTCACTCATTAGTATCAATGAACCTAAAATCTGCACTAAAATTTGCTTACACACAATGTATCCCTTCGAAGCTGATCGACCAAATGGCAAAAACTGAAGTGACTTTTCTCTCTTTTTATCATCTCCCCATACTGGGAGTCTAACTGGAATAAAATGATGGAATTTCCCAACAAACAAGCCAAAGACTCACAGCATCTCCGCTTCCTTGGCTTCATCACTGCTCAGATCCTTCTCCACACTGTAATCCAGGATGGACTTCACCCCGAATTCACGGTTGCAGCTGATGAGTGGTTTGATGTCGTCATGGTCCTCCCCAGCCACGAAGTGACCGTAGAACGTCGACTTCATCATCTTCCTGAACAATGTGCCACCCAGGAGCTTCCGCGACCATTTCAGCAGCTGAAACACACATTGTCATGTGTCATGGGTTCACGTTACGGCAAAAAATATGTTAGTATGTTAGTGCCATTGTAAAGTATTAAGCGGTCTTAGCACTAACATGATCGTAACTCCCATGCCTTTAATATAGACTCACGACAGTCTTAGAGCTAAGATGATCATAACTCCCATGCCTTAACATAGACTTACGACAGTCTTAGCGCTAAGATGATCGTAACTCCCATGCCTTAACATAGACTTAAGGTACTCTTAGCACTAAGATGATCATAACTCCCATGCCTTAACATAGACTTAAGGTAGTCTTAGCACTAAGATGATTGTAACTCCCATGCCTTAAGATAGACTTACGACAGTCTTAGCACTAAGATGATCGTAACTCCCATGCCTTTAACATAGACTCACGGCAGTCTTAGCGCTATGGTTGCTTTGTACCACAGGGCCCAGATGAAGTTGATCAGATGAACGTTGGTCGCAGACAAGGGATGGACTCCTGAGAGTTTCCCAAACTGAAGCTCATGTAACAGGCTGGTGTCTCTTTAAGGCAAGCGACTTTATTCAAAACATGCATCTGTCATCCAGCAATATTCCAGCAATATCAGGGCAGGGGACACCAGAAATGGGCTTCACAAATTGCACACATGTGGGGAATCAAACCAGGGTCTTCGGTGTGCCAAGCAAATGCTTTTACCACAAGGCTACCCGACCGCCCCTATCCTGTAAGACACTTTATTGATTCAAGGTAGATTTCCTTGCATTCTGCCACGGAAATAACCATCCCGCCTGTCAACATGATCTCCTTATGACATGCTAAGATTTTTTTATACATGACACTTACACACAGCAACTACTTCAACAGATTTTTGTGCTAAAAGTACTGGTTGGAAAATGGGAAAAAATAACGTATCAATTACTTCTTTGAAAGGTTATTGGAATTAGTTACCATGGTTACATGCACATAGTTTGCTCCATCACATTTCGAAAGCAGGGTGAGGGTTAAATATTCATTTCACTCATGACAAGGATATAATTATGTCATGATAAAGGCAATCACACTGCACATGTACCTAAATATGGAAGGTTTCTGCATAAATTGGTTGACATAGACAGATTGTAAGAGTGAATATTAATGCTTTAAGAGTTTAGCTGTTTGATAAACTGAGAAAGTTTAATTCTATCAGTGTAAATGAGAACAAAAGCTGTTACCAGTAAATATGATATGTGTTGCTGTCATTTGTCTCTCAGGTATACTTTTTCTTGAACTTGCTCAATGCATTATGAGCAGTTTGCCACTTTTACCAGCACCAGAAGCTGGAGTCTCTTACAAAACTCTGTTCAGTCTAGTAAGCTTAGCTTGTAATAGTCCTTAATCTTACAAATAGAGACACGTTTTGGGCAAGGAGACTCAAAAGCTTTCGGCACCAACTGTATGAAAGGCTTGTAAAGTTCTGTTTTCATTGCAAACTAATTGCAGTTTAAAATAATCTTCTCAGTAACAGAGTGTTAGCCTGGTAAAAGTGTTCACTCATCACACCGAAAACCCCAGGTTCGATTCCACACATGGTACAATTATTGAATCAGAGACCTTATATCAGCATATGGGTGCTGGTACAATGTGTGATGCCCATTTCTGGTGTCCCTCGCCTTATATCTGGAATATTGCTAGAAGCAGAGTCAAACCTCACTCACTCACTCACTCAGTAACAGAGCCATGCTCAGATGAGCAGTTATTGGCACCAAGCATTTTAGCAGTAAACATTTCCTACTTTAAGCATGAGACACACAAAATGGCTGCCATGTTCGAAGGAGTTTGCTATGCACAGTCAGTCTCTATACAAGTTAGTTATTCTAGTCTGCAAATGACTGCACATAACATGCTGTCTGAACACATCATCTGATTATATACCATTCAACACATGACTAAGTCTCGCCAAGTGATGTATGACAGCTGATGTTTAAACTAGCAGCTTAACGACTGACGCAACACGGTCATATCCTCTCCAACAACAAATAATAACAGTGAGCACTCAGCTTTACCTTATAATTCCAAACAATTACTTAGGACTGTACCATTTTTTCGCTGAATATACAATTTCATTTAACATTTTTTCATGCCGTCATTCATTTGTGCATCACGACGGTGACCCAGGTTCCGTTCCCCATATGTGAAGCCCATTTCTGGTGTAATCACTGTGATATTGCTGAAATATTGCTAAAAGCCACATAAAACTAAACCCACTCACTCACTCATGCCATAATTGAAATTTTATAATGTGTTTGTTTGAAATATAGAGCAGTGTCATTATTTTATATCCCTCCCCCAACCTGTTGCATTATTTTCACACCGTATACCTCATCTTTGACGTTTCCTTTTAACATTTGAGGATAACTGTCCATGTCATGCCTATTCAAGGCTACTTTACAAAGCATGTGAAAAAGCACAATACCAGAGCCAGTAAAACTTTTACTGTTGTAAACTTTTTTAATCACTAAAATATAGTAATGTTGAATGTGACGCTATGAACACTTTATTTACAAACTGAAGAGAAACAGGACCACGGCATGTTGACAAGAAATCCTATTCGGGGAGGGACCACATTGTGTAGAATTGCAAGCCTGACACTGAGAAGTATGGACATATGTTTGAAGCTTACTGCAATAGGGGGTTTATGCACTACATCCCGATATCAAATTTTCAAGATTAGACTCATAGTGACGAAAAACAATTATGTACCAAAGCCCTATTAGGTCTCCCTGCGCCGCCATCTTTGACGATTTGTATGCCGTTTCAGGGATGCTATGACTGCCGTGTTGGGATGCTATGAATGCCGTTTTGTATTCGGCGTGACCATTCTCACAGCTCTTGTAGCTGATATCAGCGAGTTTTGTTTCCATTTCAAGCGATTTGTCTTCCATTACAGATGTGTTGTTTGGGTTTTAGGAGGATATTGTTGCAGTTTTGGTGGTTTTGTTTCTGTTTTGGTGTATATGAGATCAGTTTGATGATTTGTTCACCGTTTGTATGGTAGGCCTGTATATACTGATACAAAATATTGTGTTAGGACATCACTTCATGAATTTGATTCTCCGATATCAATTTATTCAATCTACAACATTTTAAGACCAGTGTCACTGTCAAAATGTCAGATTGATAATCAGAGTGAAACCAAGTGTATTTTGGTCCTGATTGTTAATTCTGACAACCAGGATATATTTGATAACAACAGGACCCAGTGACTCATGACTTTGTTGCTATTGTCATACTGATCCCGCTGTGTGACTCGCAACTTCTTCATGGGTCAAGCGTGAGTGAGTGAGTGGACATGGTTTTACGCCGCTTTTAGCAATATCACAGCAGGGCACACCAGAAATGGGCTTCACATATTGTACCCATGTGGGGAATCGAACCAGCGTCTTCAGCATGATGAGCAAAAGCTTTAACCTCTAGGCTCCCCACCGACCAAAAATGGCTAATAATAATCATGGGTAGGAAAATTGAGACCATATGGACCACTGTCATTTGGAAGTTGGGGTAGTAATACAAGACAAATCTTATGGATAACACAATGTTTCTGGGCTAGTTCTTGCCCAGGTGGATAATGATCATAGTGAACAGTACAGTATATATATATATATATATATATGTAACTTTCACGAGACCTGAACGGAAAATTCTATGTAAAACAGAATTTTGACTGCTCTTGCAAAAACATAATATATGTCATAACATGCACAGGCTGTAATGAACAGTATATTGGTCAATCAGAAAATTTAAGAGCCGGGTTCAGTGTCCACAAACAACAAATAAAGTGTCCTGAAACCCGATGTATCCCACTGAGTGAACATCTAGATGTCTGTGTGAAAGGAAGCGATGTTAAATTTACAATATTTCCTTTTTATCAAGTTCAAAATTCAGACAAAAGTAAAAGCAATTTTAAAGAACACTACTTCATAGACAAGTACAAACCAATGTTAAACCATTGCAAGCTGTGACCTTGTTGCTCTAGAATGTTGTCCCTATTATGACGTCACAATATATATGTAATGGCGTCATACTGTAAACCGCTACAATCTCCCTGAAGAGTAAAGAAGCGAAACATGTTGGAGAAAACGCATTCTGTTTTTATTTATCTATGCAATATTTATGACTGAACACCTGTACTACTTTGGACATTTTATTATATATATATATATATATATATATATATATCGATGTACAGGAAGCCAGATATGTAAATTAAGTATATACAAGCCTAAGGGAAGAAGATGTAATTAAGAAATGCATTACAAACAATGAGGGGTGAGATGATAGAGAAGAATACAAAGATAGGGTATGTTCTATTTTCTTATCATTACAGTCAAACAATTTGGAACAATTGCTATAAAGTGTTCAGGATCAATTATTTCACATTCTTGGGTCAATTCAAATCCCTTATCCCCTAAATAGTAAGACATCTATTGTCCACCATGAGTGGAATAACCACTTTTATCCCCTTGTTATGCCCCTAACACAATACACTATTCTTGGTTTTTCACTTCTTTAAATAACCTAAAAGGTGACTCTGACAGGTGTTGACCTATTTTCCACTCCAGTAATTTCAAGTATGTTCCATTAGACAACTCAAGGTGACACACAAAATGGTTGAGTGTTATATAGGGCACTAACATTATAACATAGGGATATTTGGGGAAGGTACACCATACTGGCAAAGAGAACAATATTCCCTATATGAGCATTTAATGTCTGATCATATTGACTGATTCAGTAAGTGAGTGAATGAGTTTAGATTTATGCAGCTTTTAGCAATATTCCAGCAATATCATGGCAGGGACACCAGAAAGCGGGCTTCACACATTGAACCCATGTGGGGAATCGAACCTGGATCATTTAGTGACTAGTGAGCGATTTAACCACTAGGCTACCCCACCACCCCCATATTGAGAGAGGATGGGGTCAACATTTGATATCAGATCATATTGATTGAGAGGAAGGGTTACTTAATGTCAACATTTGATATCAGATCATATTGATTGAGAGGATGGGGTCAACATTTGATATCAGATCATATTGATTGAGAGGAAGGTGTCAACATTTGATATCAGATCATACTGATTGAGAGGATGGGGTCAACATTTGATATCAGATCATATTGATTGAGAGAAGAAGGGTCAACATTTGATATCAGATCACATTGATTGAGAGGAAGGGTCAACATTTGATATCAGATTACATTGGGACAGGGGCAGCCCATTTCAATTTTTAGGGGTGAGGGTGAGTGGGAATTGGCCAATTGAACTAAAGATTAGTTTTGAAATATGTATTCTGAGCTAAAGTAAAATCTCTTGAATAAAAAAGAACATGGATCTTTAGCAATATACCAGCTATATGGTGGTGGTCTGTAAATAATTATGTCTGGACAAAACAATCCAGTGATCAACAGCATGAGCATCATTCTACGCAATTGGGATATGATGACATGTGTCAACCAAGTCAGCGAGCCTGACCACCTGATCCCATTAGTCACCTCACAAAACAAGCATGGGTTACTGAAGATCAATTCTAACCCATATCTTCAGGGGTTATATAAGCTTTAAAACAGACCAACAGATATTTACTTGACTCAGACTCATGGCTGAAGTCACAGACCTCGTCTCTATCCCTGCTGTTTAGTGTAATTTCCAGACTAATACTAACAAACAGATGCTGCAGTCGTCACATATGTAGGGCAGGGACGAATGATTACAAATAAATAAATACTCTTAAACACAATAAACTACACTATTTCTGGCTTGTATGAAGCATTTAAATAAATGTGTTTTATTTTCTCAGCAAGAAATTAACAAAATTATTCATAACTATTAAAACTCTACACTAGGTTGGAGAATGAAATACATAATAGTCCCAAACAGGTGTTGCCAGTGTCGAACCACATGTGTTCACCAAAACATATGTAAGCATATGTAATGAATATATTATCTGTATCCCAATAAGCTGGAGTGATTCAAACCCGTCTCCAATGGAATGATAAACACATGTACAAGAGCGTTGTTTACAGGGCAGCTTACTGAGCAGTGAGATTAAATAACTTACTCAATACTAGTTTGACTTAATATGTCATATTTTCACTGATCTCGCAGGCCTTATTGTTTTGAAGTTAGTTGTGTTAGGGTTACAGCACGTTAATCCAAAACATGACAAAAATTCACTTCAGTTTCTTCACTATGCTAATATTTTGGAAAGAGTTCCTTCCGTTCCAACTCAGAAACTAGAAACCAAACTCTAAACCTAACCCTAACTTAAATTTTGGACTTTTAATCATTTTGTGAGTTCTCTTAGTAATTGTTGTGTTAAGTTTTGTTTGATAATTCTAGATTATTTATACATATTATTTGGGATATTGGAACGGGAGGAACTCTTACCAATATTTTCATTACAATTAGGTCTACCCTTTTTCTCTGAGTTAGATCAGAGACCATATACCGATATATGGTCTCTGGTTACATTTACCGGCAAACAGTTTCTTGCATAGTGCTTTCGCTAATGTATTGTTACAAAAAATAAGGTATACTCACAACTATTTGATTATCCACGAGATAATTGATGGAGCAGAGTTTGAACACAAGTAAGGCCCGTGCGAGTTCAGATGTCGTTTTGCTTCTGTAGGCTTCTCTTGCATTTTCGAAAGTCAAATCTACGATAGGGTGACCATCGTTATATAAATTAGCCGGCTTTCCTCCACTGCCATTTTTCTAAAATTTCGGTTGATGCTGCTGGTTTAAAGTCCACCCCGGTTTTGGTCACGTTTGTTCGTATGCTCCATTTTCCTGGTCGAAATTTAGATAGGTGCGATATATACCTCAACGCCATGACTTCATCACCATTCACAAGTCAACACTGCCAAGGGAGGTAACCCACTTGTTTATGTAGTAATATAGTAAAGTCAGTTTCACATAACTGACGAACTCGGGTCCGCTCGGGTGATTCGGCGCCATTGACCGAGCGCCATTTAACCTGAGACTGAGCAGGCAAAACATGTTTTTTCCAACTGAAATCTTTCTAAATCACAAATATGTCAAAAGACAAGTGGAACAGAAACCATGCATACTTTGAGAGTTTTCACAAAAGGATGTAAAATATGAATTTGAACACGTTTGTTTTGTTTGTTTGTAGTCTAGTGCTGCACTCAGCAATATTCCACTTATAAGGCAACAGTCTGTAAATAATCGAGTCTGGACCAGACAATCCAGTGATGAACAGTATGAGCATCGATCTACGCAATTTGGATACGATGACATGTGCCAACCAAATCAGGGAGCTTGACCACCCGATTCCGTTAGTCGCCTCTTACGACTTACAGGTTGATATTTTGAAATGCATTACCTGTAATAATTTTACGCTTGTTTGGTTGCAATCAACAATATTCCAGCTATTGAGGCTAAACTAAATAGTCCTCTGATCGATACTGTGGACAACTACATGTCCTCGGGGTACGATTATCCGCACCTAGTACCTGAAAGGACAACGATAGGATTTTTGTCAATATTTTGACGTAATACAATTATTTTGTCAGCTAGCGTACTGTCAGATGACGTCACTGTGTATCACTGTTGACGTCATATTGACAATGTTTGCTTCTCGTAAATGCTCTCTTTGCGACAACTTATTACTGGTATTGACATATAGAGATTACTACACAAGTGTCACTTTCGCTCGTTGAAAATAATCAAAATAATTCAGATAAATGATATTTGACAGACACGAGTATAGTAATCTGTTTTTTATACACCATAACATCACACAACTTAATAATAAATTCAAATTTCACATGTTCTCACCGTGCTGGCGCAGTAATACAGCGACAACGTGTACAAATGAGTGACGTCACTGCCCCACATGTGGTACAACGTGTGAAGCCCATTTCTGGTGTCCCCGCCGTGTTATTGCTGGAATATTGCTGAAAGCGGCGTTATAAAATGGTTGTCGTTTCCATGGTTTTGTACATATATCAGGCAAGATGTCTGTTTGGGGATTCTGTATATTTTTTAACCAATTTGACATTAGCTGTGTTTCAGCCCCGTCCCTGCTCTACTTCCTCCGTTTCCAAATGACATCCTATACTGTTATAAGCGCATATCAATCCATTATTATTTGTCATTTATCTCCAGAAAGCCAGCACAACAATCCATGTATATCAACCTACATAGTTCACCATAATGTTGAAACACACTATAAATGCCATTCGGGCCTTCCGCGAAGGTGTGTCTCAACAAGCAATTTGATTGGCTGGAGAAAAGTACAGGTATAGTCATACATAATCATCGGTGATGCACATACACATTTAGGTCCATGCCTGTTTATCTATCAGCCCTAATTGAGGTCACAATCTAACAGCTCTGTTTGATCTTGAGATGACCCACAAATCCGCGACATTGCTGTCTGAATGAAAGAGCACTGTTTATTTATGCTCACTTTAATTTGGCTATCGCAGATTCAAAATGGTTATTGTAGTTAAGAAATTAAACGATATTTACTAAATATTACATTACTAATGTTTCCCTTCAGATATATTACATGTGTGTGCAGCTACAACCTATATATTACCCCCAAATGTATTACGTCATATATGTACCCGCGAAGATCTGCGGTCACAGTGACCTTCTCGACTAACGGGATCCGGGTTTCAGTCTCGATGACCTGGTTGATGCGTCCCAGTTACGTAGATCTATTCTCATAACCTCGATCACTGGACTTTCTGGTTCAGACTCGATTATTTACAGACCGCCGTCATATAGTCGGGAAAAGATTGTAAACAACAAACAAATATGAGTGAGTGAGTGAGTGAGTGAGTGAGTTTAGTATTACGCCGCTTTTAGCAATATTCTAGCTATATCACGGCGGGGGACACCAGAAATGGGCTTCACATATTGTACCCATTTTGGGAATTGAACCCGGGTCTTCGGCGTGACGAAAGACCTCTTTAACCACTACGCTACCCCACCGCCCCACAAACAAATATGATGGATAGGGCCATCTGTTAAGCCACTGAGATATGTGATCGCTGAGGTTACCTATTAAATTAAATTGAAATCTGTTGTACATAATCTGTATAGTATAGTATAGTTGAGGTGAGCTGTTCTTTGGAGACTTTTATAATAAAAACACTAACTACCACTCGTTTGTGACGGTGTATAAGGGAAAAGTTTAATGACCATTTGCTGTTTTATTTTTTTTGAAATTTCAAGATAATGAGCTCCCTCGGAATACATTTGTATAGTGTACATGTTTTGTTCGTTCAGTACACTGGAGACGGGCGGTTGTAACAAGTAGTGGGGGAACATAATGTCAAACTATTACCTTGAAATTTCAAAGCCAAAAAGAAGAAAACAGAGGCTGAAAGGCTTTCTTAGATTATCCCCTATTTAATGTGATTAACTCCACCAAAGTCTACAAAGGGATTTTTAAACCCGACTTAGCCGATCATTACGTTTTGGTGTCATTAGACCGTTATTCTGCAAAGTGAGTGAGTGAGTGGAGTGAGTAAGGTTTTACGCCGCTTTTAGCAATATTCCAGCAATATCACGGCTGGGGACACCAGAAATTAGGCTTCACACATTGTATCCATGCAGGTGGGGAATCTATACTGCAAAGGTTGAATCAGTCACCAGTTTATGAACAAATCATCTCTCACGTTATTTACAACAACCAATATTAAGTAACTTTAAACAAAGAATGAAACAGTTTGTTTACATATGTGTGGTTATGTGATGCTCGACAATGGTTTGTATATTATGACTCTAGTTCTCATTTTCTTGTCAAACAGCCTAGTGACGCCAATCTCAATACCCTAGTGATATAGAGTCGGGTCGGTCGCCACTGACAAGGGCTGTTAGCTTTGTTATATAGTGCGTTTATCTTGCGCAAGGCAATAAATATCAAACGTGACATGGATCAGAGACCATATGGCCTCTGCATGGATACACTGATTTCATATTGGTCATTATACGGCATTTGTTAATTCATTGTTTCCAAAGTGCATATTTAACGTTAATCCGCATAATATCTTTCTCAGCGAATCAAATTCCTTGATCCTCGTTCCACAAAGCGAGCTTAGCGTTAAGTCTCTCTCTAATTAACACCAATGTACTAAACCCGCTTTGTGGAGGGATATAAGCCATGATGTGTTTATAAAGAAATGAACTCTCGGGTACCTAAACTAGTGGTACCCATACTGTTTTGGCTGTGAAACTACTACATAACTTTTAGTTGGTTGGGTTGTTGTTTAACGACATACTCAGCAATATTCCAATATGGCGGCGGTCTTTGAATAATTGAGTCTGGACCAAACAATCCAGTGATCAACAGCGTAAATACTTTTCTTGTTGAACAAATGCAAGCGTTTTATTTCTGTGACATTGCAATAATTAATTATGCCACCGTGATAAGTTAATTACATGTATCAGATTTTCATCTCCCCACAAAACACATGATAACATTGATTGCACCTATAGACGACAAAAACACTATGTGTGTTGCTTATATTTAATTATAAAATTATATCCCATAATGAAAATCCGGTCAGACGTGAAAACAATCAACAGTTGTAGCAAATTTTCTTTCACACAGACTGATGAAAGTGACTATCCTGCTTATCGGTTCAAATCACATGTCCGTGTTGGGATCTGACTTGTAAAATAATAACATTTACATATTGTAATACAGTAAACGCATAATAAAATTACTGATTGGCCCAAACATAATCAAATGAGAAAACGTTTGATGATTTTTCTAAGTTGGGAGAAAGAGATGCATAATGGTCAGCGGTGGATCCAGAATTTTGATCTTAGGAAGAGAGTGGATCATGTAATTTAGCATGGGAAAAGGGGGTTCGGGCGGTGATTTTGTAGGTCGATGATCACTACATCAATCACTGGATTGTCAGACTCGATCATTTAGACTGCCGTCACACAGCTGGAAGATTCCTGAGTGCGGCTTTCATCAACATTCAGCAAAGCATTGTTCAAGTAGACTCAGAACTGCTTGACCGCAGTTCTCGCAACCTTCTAGTTAGGCTGTCAATGACGTCACACACGATATGAAAACCGTGACGTCAAAATCCGATGACGTCATACCGTTAACATATTGGTAACGATATCAAAAACAGAAAACCGCGATATCTATGTTGTCTCGCGCTAATGTGCAGGATGAAGAGAGGTGAAGAAGAAGATACGGTTGACGCCGAAGAACTGTTCAGTCACGTGAAGGAGATGAACGCTCTAGCTCACTTCGCGAGATGTCAGGCCCAGGAGGCAGACATGCGGGCGAACAACGCTGTCAATATGGCGGACCGGGCCGTCGGGGAAGCAGAAGCGGTGCGACAGATCGCCCTCAGTCTGACAAAGACAGCCAGGTCCGTTGCTAAGATGTCTCTTGAGCACATAAAAGCTATGAATTCTGTTGAGGATAGGTGTTTCAAACGAGGCGGGATATTACATCCCGCGCAGGAACTCAGGAAGAATCGTGAAAAGAACAAAACGCCGTCTCCATGCAAACGTGAAAAATCGTGGACCCTTTCCTCAATCTCCGAAGACTCAGCATCTCCGAAAGCCGGTGATGAGACACAACATCAAGGAAAAACCAGCTTGTCCGAAGACGCGAGGTGTACGCTGGAGAACAGGGGACACAACAGTCCTCCACCTTGCGTGTGTGGCAGCCTGGAACCCGAGTTTGTGGACAGATGTCATCCGAAGCTTCATGAGGAGGCCTCACAAACACAGTCGTCACCTCATTTAGGGGCACAGGGCCTCATTGAGATAATTCCCGAAAAAGAAGAGTCAGAGGGTCTGAATTTCGGGCAAAAGCTTCCCGTTGTGTTTTGGGACTCTTACGAGAGAGCACGCCGATCTGTCCACCGCAAAGTCCAGAAGAAGCTTCGAAGTCTGGAGGGTGCTTGTGGTGAGGATGTTCCGGTGGGAGAGGAAGTCCTCGAGGAGGAGGAGGAGGAGGAGGAGGAAGAGGGGAGGGAAAGGGCGAGGGGGGAGGCGGCTTGGAAAGCGGAGAAGGTTCAAGAGAAGCAGGAGGAACACTGTGTCCAAGGATGAAGACGAAGAATCTGCTTTCACGTCTGTTTCTGCCTTTTGAAAACATGAAACTTCAAGGACATATCATGGCCAGATATTTGACGTTTAATTGTGTCAAGTGTCATGGTCGTTTAACACAAATATTCATTTGGTTCTAAATATGACACAATATTACCTCTTGCTAAATTTTATCTCAAGAATATGAAGGGCGGTTGGCTAGCCTAGTGGTTAAACCGTTCACTCGTCACTCCGAAGACCCGGTTCGATTCCCCGCATGGGTACAATTTGTGAAGCCTATTTCTGGTGTCCGCCGCCGTGATATTGCTGGAATATTGCTAAAAGTGGCGTAAAACTAAACTCACTTACTCAAGAATATGACTTCTTACTATACTGTATAATGGTTCAGTCTATGAGCGTACAGTTTACGTTGTTGGTGTTGTGGTGAATAAATGTTTGCCGTATTCTATAACGGTTCTTTCACGTGATGTGGTCGATGCATGTTTGTGAATTAACTCAAGGGCTCCATGCAATCCCCGAATATAGAGATACAAGTATATTGTGTGTCTCTAATTTATCGTTGTCACCGAAAGCTATAGGGTTTCTATCTGGTTGGCTGGTGGTTTGTTGCAGTTTGTGATTAGTGTCAATATTGAATACTTCCTGATCCAAATGATCTATGTTGTTTCATGCAACAACAGGTGCACACATGCCGTTCTGTGCAGTCCCCAAATCTGATATAGGGTTTCTATTTGTTTTGTTCTTTGATATTTGCATGAGCGTCAACCTTGATCACTTGTGTGGTGGTACTTCCTGATCCAATAGTCTAATGTCATGCTACCATATCCACACACTTTGGGTTCTATGGCCCCCATTGCTTGTTATTATTATATGACCCATACTATACCTCGTCATGTAGAGTGAGTTTAGATTTATGCTGTTTTTAGCAATATTCCAGCAATATCACAACGGACACACCAGAAATGGGCTTCACACATTGTACCCTAGACTAAGGCTTAGTCTCTGAATATATATAATTTTGATAGTAACAAACAAACTCATTTAAATTGAAAAGGAGCCCTAGGGAGACCAGAGATTCAGAACCTGAACCCCAGAATCCTGAACCTGGGGAAATCTAGACTTGCTTCGTTTAGGGCTTTAGCATTGCAGGGAGGGCTAGGCTGTAGGGGAAATACTGTGGTTCAGGGACTGTGAGACAGACTAATTGTACCCATGTGGGGTACAACAGAAACCGGGTCTTCAGCGTAACAAGCGAATTGTTGAACCATTGGGCTACCCACCGCCCATTCATGTAGAATGTTACACCAAATAGTGGCAGGTCGTTGGTTCGATCCCCAAAACACGTTAACAGATGTACTTGTTGTTGCCCTGTCAGGCGCACGGCATGAGAATAAAACAATAACTGGTCAGAAAAATACATATTCAGCATATATCCGGACAGGTATAACCAGGCACACACGCACATGCACGTTGTTTATACGTGTTGTATGATTGTTGTCTTATACCCATAGCAGCTCACCTTCTGTGCTAGGAACTCCTGAACACCCGGGTTAGAATTGAGTTTCAGTACGGATCTCCCTCTGATGCACATGTCACCATATCCCAATTGTGTAGATCTATGTTCATGCTGTTGACTGGATTGTCTACACTAAAACTAAACTCACTCACTCAGGGAGAGAGATGTGTGTGTGTGTGCGTGCGTGCGCGCGTGCATTTTGGAGGCGGTTTGGGATGTATGTGCACCAGTGTGTGTCAAATCCAAAAAGGACCACGGATTCTGATTGAACATGTATGTATTTCAACAAAACAAAGACGTATCACTTTACAGTTTTTTCATCAACCTATCATATCCGAAGGAGTAAACAAAAAACCATGAAGCATAATTTACAAACAGTGTAGTCTAATGGATAATCATAAAGCATTACTTACAGTTCCCGTTTTGTAAATTTACATGAATAAAGAGATCCTGACTGTCCGCATGCCGAGCGCCCGACAATATAACGTCATCTGATCTCCTTGATCTCAATTATAATCAAAGCTTACTCATGAATATTTGATACTTGCAATCACAACATAAATGATTAGCATTAATAAATGAAGCATGTATTAGGTTAACATATGTCACACAATAAAAATCATGTTAAGAATTTTGGTTAATGAGCGTTTGATACGTTCTGTTCATCCAAGGCATGAACTGTTTGTTGTTGACATGTGATTATATCCAAATTGCGTGGATCAATGCTCATGCTGTTGATCACTGGATTGTCTGGTCCAGGGTGCCGTTCCACTAACCGATCTTAGCCCTATGCCAATCGTAAGCCCCTAAAATCCCAATCTTAGCGTGACGTTACGATCGGCATACCGTTCCACTAACCAATCTTACCTAAGTCAATCGTAAAGTTAAGATTCAAAGTCTAAGTTGCTCATGACCAACTTAGGATAGCTAAAATCAACCGTAGAGAAACCAAAATGGTGGCTTTCCTATTCTATGTGAAAAATAAGAGCGAGCATTTCACCGTGAAATGAATTTGTATATTTCTGTGATGTAAACAAACACTGCACTGAAGCCTTACAAATGTCAGGCCAGTCTGACCACTGTCGTCATGGGAACACAACCGAGCGAGTCGGTGTAACACATTTGTACAACAATATTGCAACGTCATGGTTAAGAATTGGGACAGCCGTGAAGTGAACAATGTTCTGAAACAAAAAGATACAAATATGTTTGATTTCACGTGCGCTTATTTGGTGGGGGATTCTAAAGGCAGGCCGCTTGTTATTCAAGACCACTGACAGTTTCTACATACGTTATAGAGGATGCCTCCTCACGCCTTGTTTATTCTGATTGACAAGGTTCAGGCACATATTAAAAGCTCTGACACAATTGATATTTTTAAAGTCCAGACTTAAAACCTGTTCTCAGTTTATTACTTATAATCTCGGCTGTAAATACTCTCGTGTAAATTATCTGTACATAGGGCTTTGAGCATGCCCCAGGATGTGGAATAGGCGCACTATAAATATGCATTTATTATTATTATATTATGCCTGATACCCAGCGTTCACACGCACTTGCACCGGAAACCAAGGTGCTCACTACCCTAATATTTTGCTCTAGGTTTTTTTCTTCACGTTTACACTTGGTTGGAAAAATACCCATGAAGGCCCGGGTTAGAATATTGAACTTCAATAACCCATGCTTGTCATAAGAGGCCACTAACGGCATGGGTGGTCAGGCTCGCTGACTTGGTTGACAAATGTCATATGTTCCCAACTGCGCAGATCGATGCTCATGCTGTTGATCACTGGATTGTCTGGTCCAGACTCGATTATTTATAGATAAGATACATAGCGTTCACTAACATGAACGCTCATGTTAGTGAACGCTATGCATCTTAGCTAGATTATTTACAGATCGCCGCCATATAGCTGGACTATTGCTGAGTGCGGCGTAAATCTAAACTCACTCACTCGCTCAGCTGGTTCGTAAACTACTTTCATCATTTGCTAGACTATGCAAAGGGAGATAACTCGTGCCTCGCATTCCTCTATCTCTCGCACGTAAGAGTCTCGATCTAAGCTTGGATCGGATCGTAAGATCGGGACTGGCTACGATCGGCCTAAGATCGGGTAGTGGAACGGGTGTAACTTTTAGCTAAGACGATTGTAAAATTGGCGTAACTTGCTAAGATTGATCTTAGTTAAGATCGGTTAGTGGAACAGCGCCCAGACCTGATCATTTACAGACAGGCGCCATATAGCTGGTATATTGCTGAGTGAGGCGTTAAACAACAAACAAACAAAACAACAAATAAACACATGGGTAATATTGAAGAACAGTCACAAAACTTCTCTTTTGGTAAAGTTTTATTTTCCAGACATCATTTACATCAACGGCCTGTTGCCATGGTTTCAAAATAATCTGTATAAGATTCATCACAAGCTTCTCCTGTAACAGTAGTCTTTTTGAATATTAACCAGAAAAAAAACAATATATCTGAGAGTTGCAGTATTATAATGGTTGTTGGTTGCTGGTGGTCTCAACCATCTGAAATTGTCTGTGAGTGAGTGAGTGAATATAGTTTTACACCGCTTTTAGCAGTATTCCAGCAACGTCACAGTGGGGGACACCAGAAATGGGCTTCACACATTGTACCCATGTGGGGAATTGAACCTGGGCCTTTGGCATGATGATCAACGCTATAACCACTAGGCCACCGCACCGCCCCTGAAATTGTCTGTGACACAGTTGATCTGTATTAGCTGTTTCTGTATCCTGGCTGTTTCTTACTGCACTGACTGGCTCTTTCCGGTTTAAACTGTACTGTGACTGGCTGTTTCTTGTTCAAACTGCACTGTGATTGGCTGTTTCATGTTGGCTGGAAAGCTACCGTTGTATGAAAATGCTGAGATCCGGCATGTAGCGATAGGGCTTCTTCCTGTTGGGACCTCTGTGAAATAATAAACACAATATATGTAATTCATAAATCTGCTGTCACTGCATGTTCGATCTAACCATGCTCAAATGTGGTTCCCTGTCATATTTGACTGCAGATGTGTAGGGTGTTCAGATAATAGTTTGTTGGTGACTAAAGTGAAGTCAAATCAAAACCCTGCTAAACATCCATTTATTCTCCACGTGGTCAATCAACTGTCCTATGGGTAGTTGCTTGGCTGTACTAATCTCGTACGTCACGCCACACGAAAGTGTCATCTGATCGTGTTGACCTGTTGTGCCATTAAAACGACTTGACCTGAAGATTCTAATGATTTGATTGGATAACCAATGACCTCTCAGTTAGGTCACGTTGTCTCATTACATATGAATTCCACTAGGGCTGGGGACGGATCTTCCTATGGTTTCTGTCCCTGCGCCTAATCAGGTCGGATACCGGAAATAGGAAGAATACATAGCCTGTATGTGAATAACAATCGTGAAAGTATTCTCTATGTATCAACTATCTCATCTTGTTGACAAGAACAATCACCTGTCCCCACAAAACTCATGTATGTACACTAGCTTTGGCTTAGTAGATTGCCATGGTAAACGATGTCCTTCAAACCCTATTTTAGCCCCCAACTTTGTTTCAGGGAAATACCTGTTCTAACCCCATCAAATATCTCACCTGGTTGTCAGGGTGAACCCCTGACTTATATCTTGCTTGGCTTGAACCACCTGTCCCCAACCCCCTATCTCACCTGGATGTCCAAGAAAACATCTTTCCCCACCTGACTTTATATCTCACCTGTCTACTCAGGGAATCACCTGTCCCAACCCCAATTGTACCTGGTTGCCTGGAGATGTGCCTGTCCCAAACCATCTTAATATTTCACCTGTCCCTATCCCACTTAATATATCACCTGTCTGTTCAGAGAAACCCCAGCCACAGTGTCTCTATCCCATCTTAGTATCTCACCTGGCAGTCCGGGGGAACACCTTCTCCTTGGGGATCTCCACAGGTGAGGACACATCATGTGACTCTGTCTCCAGGTAGACGTCAAAACACATGAGGAGACGCTGCAGCTGATTGGACAACAGCTGACCTTGAGACTTCCTCCCCACCAACTCCTCGTAGTGGATGTTGACCTCCTCTTCTAGCTCCTGGACACAGAACAAGGGGTGAGTGAGAGACATTGACCAGTGGGCTAGATATAAGGTTGGATGATTATCGAGTCAGTAACTGAGTGGGTGAAAAACTTATTTTTGGTGGGTGCATATTTTGTTTGTTGAGGCTGAGGGTATGAGATTGAGTGACTGGGTTAAATAAGAGAATGAGATTGGGAGAGTAAGTGGTGATGTTGGGATTATTATTATTACACAATTCAAAGATGAAGATTCTGGAGGTGTGGGAAGATTCATGATTACTGCAATTACACAACAGATCTGCAACACAATGTTGGAAGTCTGAAAACTGCCATAGACCCCGGGACCTGTCACAGACTGGCACTCTTTATCACACACATTAGGCTCTATCATACCCTGGGACCTGTCACATACCCTGGGCCCTGTCACACATCCTGGGCCCTGTCATATACCCTGGGCCCTGTCATACACCCTGACCCCTGTCACACACCCTGGGCCCTGTCTTACACACTGGACCTGTCATACACACTGGACCTGTCATATACCCTGGGCCCTGTCACACACCCTGACCCCTGTCACACACCCTGGGCCCTGTCACACACCCTGGGCCCTGTCACAAACCCTGGGACCTGTCACACACTCTGGGACCTGTCACACACCCTGGGCCCTGTCATACACACTGGACCTGTCATACACACTGGACCTGTCATATACCCTGGGACCTGTCACACACCCTTAGCTCTGTCATACATACTGGGCCCTGTCATATACCCTGGGCCCTGTCATACACATTGAGCCCTGTCATACACCCTGGGCCCTGTCACACACCCTGGGCCCTGTCATACACCCTGGGCCCTGTCACACATCCTAAGCCCTGTCAAACACACTGAGCCCTGTCATACAACCTGGGCCCTGTCACACACCCTTAGCCCTGTCACACACCCTTGGCCGTGTCACACACCCTTAGCCCTGTCATACATACTGGGCCCTGTCATACACCCTGAGCCCTGTCATACACACTGAGCCCTGTCATACACACTGGGACCTGTCATACACCCTGGGCCCTGTTATACACACTGGGCCCTGTCACACACCCTTAGCCCTGTCATATACCGTGGGCCCTGTCATACACACTGGGCCCTGTCATACACCCTGGGCCCTGTCATACACACTGGGCCCTATCATACACCCTGGGCCCTGTCATACACCCTGGGCCCTGTCACACATCCTTAGCCCTGTCAAACACACTGAGCCCTGTCATACAACCTGGGACCTATCATATACCCTGGGCCCTGTCACACACCCTTGGCCGTGTCACACACCCTTAGCCCTGTCATACATACTGAGCCCTGTCATACACCCTGAGCCCTGTCATACACCCTGAGCCCTGTCATACACACTGAGCCCTGTCATACACACTGGGCCCTGTCATACACACTGGGCCCTGTCATACACCCTGGGCCCTGTCATACACACTGGGCCCTATCATACACCCTGGGCCCTGTCATACACACTGGGCCCTGTCATACACACTGGGCCCTGTCATACACACTGGGCCCTGTCATACACCCTGGGCCCTGTCATACACACTGGGCCCTATCATACACCCTGGCACCTGTCATCTACCCTGGGGCCTGTCACACACAGGAACATAGTTGTAATTCTTACTCCTATGATGTACTAGGGGCCTAGTCTGTCCTGGTGTCCTCACAGCATAGGGAACTACAAGTAATACAGACAAGCTCCTGACGGCACAACTACATATACATACAAGCCCATTTCCCCTTGATTATTGTTGTAGTGGTGATAATACCTTGACATGAATGTCGTTGCCAGCATTGCGGTCAGTCTGCCAGGTGATGTTGACAACAAACATGGGTGCCACAGCGGGGTAGTCAGGCGTGATGATCACCTGCGATGTCAATTTGGCTGCAAGTATTTTACAATAAATGTTAAAACAATCAAAAGACAACAAAATAAAAACTTAAATTCTAGACAGCAGAACATTCTTAGAGAGGACCTGAAAATAACACGTTGAAATTCACAGACATTTTTTTATCAGAGGATACTGGCATGGTAAGGGGAAAAAACTCCATACAGACAATTGAAATAATCATACGTGTATGGGAGTCACATAACCAGACAATAGAGTGAATGACATCTGAGCATGATGTCAAATGGCATCTATTGCCTCTTACAGCAAACACAGGTTTCTGTTGTCCAAGTCTAGTCAAGATTCTCCAAGAAGCGATTATCAATATGAATATTCTAACAAAACACAGCCACCACCACCCACCTGATCCGCGCTCCATGGTCAGGGTGAAGAACATGTCAGTCTCACGAGCCATGTCAGAAGAAATGGCCGACTTCGTGTAAGGCAGGGAGGTAAAGTCGTCATAAGTGGACCGTTGCCATGACATCAGATGGGACAGAATCTTGGCAGGAAAGTTCTTCAAGACATCACTGCTGACCGGGATAGAGTTCCGCTCTGACACAGAGAACACAAAATGACTCACACTACATGGTAGAAATGTTATTGTAATAATAGCGACTGAACCACTTAAAATGTTTGTTGATGGTTCTTTTGGACATCTAACCTAACATCATGAGCCTAAAAAACAAGAAGTACATGCAGTCAAATCTTCTTCACCATACTTCAAACCAGATAGCTAGTGCACAAACGGAGAGCAGTAGTGCAGTGGTAAGACGTCTGCCTATCACGCTGAGGTCCCGGGTTCGATCCCCGGTGGAGGCACCTAGGTTCGGGTCCCGAGGTGGGCACATTTGCGTAGTATCCTTGGACAAGATACTTAGATCCACATTGTCTCAGTTCACCCAGCTGTAAAATGGGTACCCGTCAGGATGTGCTGGCAATGTGAGTGTTAAGTTCATTGCGCCTAACAGGCAGCATGGCTGTATGCTCCCCAGGGAGTTGAAAAAGTATCGGAAAGTGCGATAGTGTCCTATGACCGGGGTTAGCAATGTACGTAGCGCCGTGAGCAGGCAATGTGCCTGGATATGAGCGCCATATAAGCGGTCTATTACTAGTGTTCACATGACACAATCTCCTGGGAAGGGGTTTTGTCTTCATCATGCCAAGATGTTTGTTTGTTTGATTTTGGTTGTTTTGTTGTTGTTGAGTTAAACGCCTCAACAGTCAACAGTGTTGTTATATGAAGGCAGTCTGGAGCTGTGAATCTGGTGATTGACATCATGAGAATCAATCCATCATATGTGATATAAAGACAAGCATTTAACACTTGGCATGAGCAGCACATGCTGTAAAATGTTTTACGACAAAGTGGGATTGCTGATGACCAATTCTAGGTGAGGTGAGGTGAAATTGGGTTTAACGTCGTGCTTGAGAATATTTCGCTCATATGACGATGTGCATGCGTGTGTATGTGTATGTGCGGCTGCTTGTACTAGCCCAGACTGAAGCTGGTTTTATAGTGCTAGCTCACCGAGATACCATGCCGCAGTGAAGCATGAATACCCCACTCAGACACATTATACTGACTCCGAGCCGACCAGTCCTTGTTGTACCCATTAATGCCAAGCGCCAGGCAGGGACCAACAAGTACCATATTTTAACGTCTTTTGGTATGACGCGGTCGGGAATCGAACCCGCGACCTTCCGCTTTCCGGGCGGACGCTCTAACCACTACACCACGGAGGCGGTCAATGACCAATTCTAACCCCAAAGTTCATGGAGGAAACAGGTACTGCATAGAAATGAAATTTTTTGAGTAAAATTGATATTTTATACTTATCCTGACTCATGCTCTTTTGCTTGTCTTCTTCTTCTTGCGAACATAGTGGAACACTTGTATCTCCTTAATTGAAGCTCCCTTCAATGTAAAATCACTAATTGGTACTCACCAAGAGTTGCCTCCCTTGCCCTTTTGGCGGGAACAGGTGTCGCCATCCTCTGGCCTCATGCTTCACTCTCTCCTGATTTTGCGAGCCCAACACTTGAACTTACAGGGAAATCCAAAGTGTTATGTGGGGAGGATGGGAGGGCTAACCTCATGAGTCAGGATAAGTATAAAATATCAATTTTACTCAAAAAATTTCATATTTTTCCTTATCCTGACTCATGCTCTTTGCTTGTAGAATCCTCACGGAAACGGAGGTGGGCAAAACAGAATACTTTGGATTTATAGAATTAGTGATTTATATAGATATAACTGTAATAACCCTCACGGAACTTCATAAAGGCATAGACTTAGGATAATTCCTCTATTATAAGCCATGGGTTATAATGCCATACTGGGGTATTTACATTAATAATATACTGAGATATTATAAACAACAATATCAAAGCGACTCTGATAGAGAAGCTATACCACTGAACATATATACATACTGCTAGAACTCCGTGAGAGTTATAAGCTAGATAATGCATGTAACAATTATGCATATTAATCTCGTAAGACTACGTGTTAACGCTATTGAGGACTGTCAACTGCTGTGCGAGGACCAAGGACGAAATGGTGAATGCCTGAGACGCCCTCGGTGGTGATATCTCTCAGGTAGTGATTAGCAAACACCATGTTAGATTTCCAAAAGCGCCCTTCCATAATTGTATTCAATGAACAGTTACCGTGTAGGGCTTAGAGTGGAAGCTAAAGCCCTGATCTCATGGGGATTTGATGCTGTTGGAGGGTCCAGTCCTGCTGCCTTGTAGGCGCGAAGTATGACAGTTCTTATCCATATAGATATGGTGGTACGAGAGACTTCTGTCTGAGTTGTTGCCGACAAGGGAATGAATAATCGTTTGAGAAATCTTTGCCTTGTTTTGGAACGTCGTAAATAGATTTTGAGAGCTCTGACTCTGCATAGAGATAAGTCCAGTGTATCTTGAGATCCGAGAATGGAGGATAATGCAGGGATATGAAATAACCTGTCTGGTTGACCTGGTAGTTGATTTTTGGCGATGAAATCCCATCTTAGTCCCAGGTGTGCTGTGTTTTGATTGTCATCAAACTGTATCCTCTCATAATCTAGTGCGTGAATTTCCGACATCCTGGCTGCTGTGGCTAGAGATAACAGGAAAAGCGTTTTCTGTGAGAGAAATTCAAAGTTTGTCGATTCCAACGGTTCATAAGCCTCACTTGTGAGGTGTTGTAACACTATATTCAGATCCCAAGCTGGAGCGTGGAACTTCCGCTTTTGGTCCTCCAATCGGAAAGCACGTAGTAAGGCCAGTAACTCTGGAGTTTTTGTCAATTTGACACCCGTTCTCATGGTAATCACAGAACTAAGCGCGGCAAGATATGTTGACAATGTCGAGCCTTTTAAATGTTTGTTTTGCCGTAAGTAACACAAATAATCTGCCACTTGTGGATGAGTAGCATCTCTTGCTGTAAATCCCTTATTTGCTGCGTAATTCTCAAAACTGTGCCACTTGTCGTCGTACAAGTTACGTGTAGAATTGCGTAAGGCAAGCGTGACCGCTTTTGCCGCCCTGGTAGAATACCCTCTCTTGTTTAAACACATTTTAATACAGTCCATACGTGAAGTTGGAATACTTCTGGGCTTCCGTGCACCTGTTTGGTGTGTGGATGTATTAATAGATTTGAGCGCTTGGGTAGCTCTAGTGTTGGTTGACCGATTTCTTGAATTAGAATGGGAAACCACGTTCTGGCCGGCCAGTAGGGCGCGACCAAAGTGAGTTGGAGGCTCTGTGTTTGTCTGATTTTCTGTAACACTTGAGGTATTATTGCTGGCGGCGGAAACGCGTACGCATTGAGGCCTTCCCAGGATATGCTTAGAGCATCCGCTGCCCATGCTTGTGGGTCTGGGACTGGTGACACCTAATGTCGGTAGCTGATTGTTGAAGCGTGTGGCTTAATAGATCTACTAGCGGCGCCCTATTTGCTTGATTATCTGTGCAAATATTTCTGTATTGAGCTTCCATTCTGTCGGTGACGGTTGATGTGGCCGAGAGTGCGTCTGCTAGTACATTCTTGGCTCCGGGAATGTGACATGCTCTGACATGTAGGTTTAGATCGTGTATTAGATCGAACAGTTGAAAGCTTAAAGTTAATAGGTTCAGTGATCTCGTTGAACCTTGTTTGTTCACATAGAACGCCACTGTCGAAGTTGTCGGTATGAATCATTGGCGCGCATTCTGTAGAATGGTGCTCCAATGAAGTATGGCATTGATTACAGCTTTCATCTCTAACATGTTTATATGGAGCTTGCTTTCTTGCTGATTCCATAACCCTGATGCCATCCGGTTGGCGAGATGAGCTCCCCAACCTTGGAGCGTACGCGCCTACATATAGATGGGTTTTGAATTCCTGCTCTTCTAAACAAATACCTTCGCAAACATTCGACCTCCTGGTCCACCATAGTAGATGAGGTCTGAGATGTTTCGGTAGACTGAATGGCTGTAAATCGTCGAGATGTGCATTGATGAAGACCTGTATTGGGCGTAACTGTAATCTGCCTGAGACTGTCATGTCTTGGGCTGATGTGAGGAGACCCAACAAGCTCTGCCATTGTCGTAGTGGTAACGGAGAGAGTAGAGCTGGCGGAATGGTCTGTTGGATCTTGAGCCAACAGTCTTCTGGTACGACGATATGGTTGTGATTCGTGATAAATCGAATGCCTAGGAACTGCAGATCTTGCGATGGTACTAGGTCCGACTTGAGTAAGTTTACTAACCATCCTAGCTGTGTTAGTAGCTTTATGATGTAGTTTAACTGTAGTTTGAGACGCTGTGGATCTTGATCTACTTGTATCCCGTCGTCGAGGTAGAACGCTTTTCGCGTAGCCCTAGACGCATGTAGATAGGTGACAATAGGTTTCGTTATCCTCGCGTGAATAGCCAGGGGCTGATGATATGCCGAATGGGAGTACTTTCCATTGGTAATGTAGCCCGTCTAGTGTAAATCTTAGATATTTCCTGGATTCGGGATGTATCGGGATATGTAGATATGCGTCTTGCAGATCTATACTGGCCATGTAATCCATGGGGCGAATCAACTGCCGTAACTGAGGAAGGTGTATCATGCGAAACTTTGGTGGTTTGCGTAGATAATTCCTGTTGAAAAAGCTCATGTTGTAAATGAGTCTGTATTTCTCCTTGGAGTTTTTCTTGGGTACTAGGAAAACTGGGGAGTAGAAGCCTGGTTCGATGTTTACTTGATCTAGTACTTCTATGGCCTGCTTGGTTATGAGTGATGTAACCGCCTCTCTTAACTTTGGTAGTTGTTGTGCCTGTAAGCCTAACTTGTAAGGGTTGACTGTCAGCGGAGGCGTAGCCTGTAGTTGGATACTGAAATCCGTGTTGAAGAATGTTGGAGACATAAGGGTCTTGTAACATTCCCCAGTTCTCCCAGTATAGTTGGAGGCGTCCACCCACTTGTGACGGTTGTACTGGAACGGCTGGGGGTGGAAGACTCCAGTCGTTCCGAACCTGTCTTTCAGCGGTTATAGTTGCGGGAACCTCTGGGTGTCCTGCCTCTTCCTGACCCTCCTCTATAGTTGCCATATGGGCTTAATTTAAAAGAATCTTTTCCCCTGGCGCTGGCTATCTTCCTATCCAGTGCTTTTTGTAGTCCCGAGAACTTAGATCTCCCTGAGTATCTTTGTGAAGTCTGCCTGATGACGCTGGCTAGCGTGTTCATTGACTTGATCATAAGGACTTCTCTGGAATCCTTAGTGACTTCCTTGGAGACTTTGTCTATTCCTCCGTCAAAGATGGATGGGGATGACCACGGGGCTGTATAGAGTGGAGCTGTAAAGTTCTCACCCCAGCTGCAGGAAGCGAGGAGGCCTTGACGACGAGCTAAGGTCAGTGCTGCTGAGACAGATGTGAGATGATCTGTAAGGAACTGCTGGTCCTTCTTTTGCATCAGTAGGGCCGAGTAGATCATCCTATCATCTTCAGAGGGTAGGATACGTGAAATCTGGTGATAAGTGTCTCATTGATCGTTCTAGATCTATTTAGGCCAAAAACATGCGTCTCGTCATGTTTTCTATCTGCACCAGCTTGCGATCGTCAATCTTGTAGTGCTTGTTCTTAACATCGCTGATCAGCTTGTAGTTGTCATCGATGTCTTGTGCCTTCAGGAAGGGGTCCATGTTGTGCGTGGAGAACTTCTTAGCGTGAAAGTTCGGCAGATGTGGTGTCTGCACTTTCGTAGCTTTAATGAAGGCTGTATCTAGATTATGTGGCACCGCAGCAATCGGGTCGATCGGAGGTAAGGTGATGGCGTCTGCATCGTCTTCCTTCATCAGGTATGTCTGCGCTGAGTTGCCACTCTTGGACGGTGAAGATAAATCTAGGTTGTTTACCATCCAATATCTTATCTCAGCGTCTGAGAAGATGATGCCTCCATCATCTTCTGTACCAGCATCGGAGATGAGAGGTTGATGCTCTTCTGATGGTGACCTGTGGGCTGCTATCTCTATGTCGGGTGACACTCGGGGAGACCTGACTGTAGACCTGTGTGCCGACTTGTGTGGTGACCTGCGAGGTGATGTACGTGGTGAACGGCGTGGAGATCGTCTAGGTGATCTGGCGCCTATGGGAAGACATAGATCTGCGAGGAGAATGTTGACGGCTTCTTGAGGCTCTTGAATAGTCCCTCGACGCCCTTCTGGACGATGACGATCTGTGTGACGGCCTTCGTGCAGCTTCCTCTGCGTCCGGACCTGGGGAGTGGCGCCTTGACTTCCGTGACTGTTTCGCGTGACGCCTGGTGGTCTGAGTCTGCATCTGAGGATGAGGCCGAGGACGGTGACGATCTCTCCCCGCTTCGCGAAGGCCTTCGCTGGAAGACTGTACATCTGCGCCCTTCGCCGAGGTGGTCTGTGACTTCCTTCCTCGAAGGCTGCTTCGCCGCGTGGCTGCTACGCTGACTGGGGTGCCTCTGGGGTATCGCCTCGGGCGTTGCTCGGCCCTGGGCTGGCTGCTTTCCTTGACTGTAGTGGCCCTCCATCATGGTCATGATCTGCCGCAACAGCTCGTCTGGGATGGTCTGCGGACGAAGTAGTCGGTGCCCTCTCTGCGATGACAGCTGCTGAGCCCTCAGGGAAGTCGCCTGACATCAGTGTAGAGGCATCAGGCTGCATGGCGATCTCTGCTGATGTCACTGTAGCTGTCACCGGGTCGCTTCTTGTGGCGACGCCAGGGATGATGATTGGCTGATCATCGAGAGGCCCAGTTCGGGCGGCTGGAACGATCTCGGCTGAGAAAGTTCTTGACGATTTCGTAGACTTCCCCTTGGATGTCGACGCTGCCCTGGGGGTCCGAAGTCTGCGTTGGGAAGACGTCGTGGTCCTCTTGGACTTGAGCTGCGATGACGGGACGTCTGGGGAGGCAGGACGCTTCTTAGAGGTGGCGGACTGCATCCCACGCCCATCTTCCGACGGAGTCTCTTGCGAAACACCAGACGGGAGGGGGTCTATCGACAGCAGCTGACTGGAAGGGGAATCCGATGTATCGGCCATGTCTAACCCTTGTTTTGCGTGACCTATCGCGATATCGTCTCACGGCGCAAAGATATTTATGAAAAGCAGAATTGGATAGATTAATGCAGTAACTGCAACGTGTATCAAACGCACAAGGCGTAGCACAACTAGGGCATAATACATGTGGGTCAGCAACCGAAAAACGTAAATTGTAAATAGTACAGATTTTCATCAACGTAAATACTAGCTGAACAATCACGAACTCACGTGAATAAACAGTAGAAATACGATTAATTATCAATGCAAATTAATGAAGGATACTAGCTATACCTCTATAGTAACCTATAAGAGGTAATAAACTAAGAAAAACCAAAGGATATAGTGTGTAAGGAGACACAGGCGCTCTCACATCCTGCTCACTGGGCGAAGAAGGAGAGAGTGAAGCATGAGGCCAGAGGGTGGCGACACCTGTTCCCGCCAAAAGGGCAAGGGAGGCAACTCTTGGTGAGTACCAATTAGTGATTTTACATTGAAGGGAGCTTCAATTAAGGAGATACAAGTGTTCCACTATGTTCGCAAGAAGAAGAAGACAAGCAAAAGAGCATGAGTCAGGATAAGGAAAAATATATAACATCCGAGTTCAATAATACTGAATCTTGGTGCAGCAAGGCACCAACAAATCCAAAACCCAAGAAGAGAATCTGGCACTCACCAAGTGATGCTAGCTGTTGTAGCAGTGACAAACGTGACTTGATCCGCCGTCGGAGTTTCTTGATGGTCTGCTGCATGTAGCTGGCACTTACAGAACTCTTGGCCTTCTCCAAGCCGTTGTCTCCGAGGAACTGCAGTCCCCCTAGCCACTGTGCCCACATGTACGGCCGCCCCACCTCACACAGGTATTCACTGAACTCATGCATCCTGCAACAATATCAGTGAGTGATGTTATTTAATGTAGCAGCCCCCAGCCACTGTGCCCACATGTACGGCTGTACCACCTCACACAGGTATTCACTGAACTCATGCATCCTGCAACAATATCAGTGAGTGGTGTTATTTAATGTAGCAGCCCCCAGCCACTGTGCCCACATGTACAGCTGGACCACCTCACACAGGTATTCACTGAACTCATCCATCCTCTAATAGTCAGCTGGTCAGTCAGTGTTCATGTTTCCCACCCACAAGCCAAGTTTGGTGCTAATATACCACGAAACATAATCCGTGTGACTCTGGGATTTGAACCATGATCTTTGGTTTCAGTGAATCACCATTGCCCACTGGGCCACCTTCTCCCCTTCTTCTGGGACTAGATGCTGTTAAAACTGTTTCTTCATCTGTTACCCATGTAACTACTTATAATATCTTACCCTTGTTTCACCAGTTCGTACTGGTTGGCCTGGTTGGGTGTGGTGTTGCCATGGTCACCAGGGTAGAGTTCATTTAAGATCGAGTCCAGAGACAGCAGATCCCTGAAGAATTAAAGAATGGCTTTGCAGGCTAGATTCTTGGAAGAACATTTGTGAGAATACTGAATACTGGGCCATAATAGATTGTTAGATTTTCACACCTACCTGCTTAACTAACAAACACACTTCCTCAAATTGTTTCACTAGACAGACAAATCATTTATGTATGTGTTTCATCTAATGATAAATCATACTAATTCATAATCCTACAAAACATTCATGCTTTATGCAGATTAGATCAATCATTTAAGGTCCACAGATGTCTTTGGTGAGTGAGTGAGTGAGATCAGTTTTACGCCGCACTCAGCAATATTCCAGCTATATGGCGGCAGTCTGTAAATAATTAAGTCTGAGCATCGTTCTACACAATTGGGAACCGATGACATGTCAGCCAAGTCAGCGAGCCTGACCACCCGATCCCGTTAGTTGCTCTTACGACAAGCATAGTCACCTTTTGTGACAAGCATGGGTTGCTGAAGACCTATTCTACCCCGGATCTTCACGGGTCCAAGAGTATTCAATGATGTGACAGTCATCAGTTGTTAGCAAACATAACAGCCAGTTGGTTGCAAGTCGAGAGTTATCAACTCCTTGCATGGTTGTGGTTGCCAGTTATCAGTGGGGAGATGTGACAAGTGGTAGGAAGTGTGTAGAAAGTAGAAGTTACCACTGTGAGGAGCTTGCAGATTGGATCCATCCATCTCCACTGGGAATGAGCGTTCTGTCATATTTCATATCAAATAAGAGAACTGACATAGAGTCTGTCTTACCCTCCTGAGATGGAGTTTGTGATGGTGTCCGGACCACAGTTGACCTTGACATTGACAGTGATGATCTGGAGGACCAGGAGGTAGTGGAAGGTCAGGTGGAGACTGCTGCCATCTGGGGGGAGAAAAGGGAGGTAATCATCTGACAACTCCTCACAGCAATACCACATGTGTACAGAAGTCGGTGTGTGTTCTAAACATGGCTATACATAATTATCATATGGTCCTGTATATCTTAGTAAATTAGCTATGAATCATAATCACTGACTTCAGGGAGACAAATTTTGTCTCAAATTGATTATATTAGAGGATTATACACTATATCAAATGATAAAATGACTGTGACTCTCACGTGTTTCCGCATCTAGATTTTTTATGTTTGACATTTATGCTGAAACAAACTAAGCCATATCTAATCTTGATATTCTTCATACAATCCACCAACCTCTAGTTGTGACGTCTAGTATAACAGACAGTGGGTGTTTGCGGAGGACTTTGGCCTTCTTGTCCGTCTGCCTCGCTTCCACCGTCTTCCTCCTCCGCTTCTGCAACATCAGCCACAATGTTCATATCAAACAGTTTGATGGACAAACATGCATTTATCCATGTACAGTTTATGTGACCTGGCCTAAGGGTATGAAAGTGATCTGAACTTTTGCTTACCTCGAAGTTAGTCAGAAATCTATCCCTGAAACCTCCTGGGACCATTAGTCTTGTTTCAAAGATTTAGTCCAGTAAACAGTCTTAGTAAATGAAAATTGTAGCCAAAGTCTATGATCATCATCATCAGAATAAATACATTTTCAAGTGGACACTTGTATCGAAGAGACTGGCTGACAGTCTGGGTGTGTCTGATGACAACATGAAAGCTGGTTTCAGCTTATACTTAGACAATAACCAATGTGCTTAGATGAGTAACTGATTATTTGACCGAAGTTGGATAGTTGTTTAACTCCACACTCAGCAATATTCCAGCTATATGGTGGCGGTCTGTAAATCATCGAGTCTGGACCAGACAATCCAGTGATGAACAGCATGAGCATCAATCTACGCAATTGGGATACGATGACATGTGTCAACCAAGTCTAGTTGAACTTTACATGTAGCTGACTTCAAATACAGTGTAAGCTGCCTAACTGGCATTCGTCGGGACCGAAGAAATAATCTGGTTTAGACAGTGTGACGGATTGTAGAGATGACACGGTTAGCTACGACTAGAACTGAACCAGTTTTGTCACTCTCATATATTCTCTCAATTACTGCACACATTGACAAAGATTTGAGCTCATATTCATTTTTATTGACATAAACATGATAAATCAACACATTTGAAAAAATTCAGACATTTTGGTTTGTTTATGCTCAACTGACGCTTCAAGAGCAATTTTCTAATTTGTGACAATACACGTCCGGCCGACCCCTCGCCGGATTAGACAGCGCTGATTACTGTATAAACACATATTCGGTCGTCTCACTTCATGCCAAGCTATCAGATTGACAGCTATCAGATTGCAGAGCTTTTAAATGATGATAAATGTACTAGCCATGGATTGGACTGAGATTTTATGCTGGTGTTGACAACTTGCCGGATTGAACTGCTGCTGGTTTTGACAGCTTCCACAGAATTCTTAAGTTCAAACTCACCGATTTAGATGTCTCCTGCTCCTCTTGGTCACTGTCACTATCCTCATCTGAAGGTCAAGGTCAAACACGTAATGAAAGAAAATATGGCTTTCAATAGACTGTTAACATGCTCAAAAGCTATCCAAGAAAAGATGTGGAATATCAGAGACAGAGACACCTTTACTCAGTCACTAATGATCCTGCATCAGCACATTCTCAACATTGCGTGACATACCTAGGTCTGGTGTTGCCGTGGTAACAAGGGATCTTGCAGCATCAATATCTCCTTCTATGGTCACTTTCAGCTGAGTGTCTGGCAATAGAAAGGAATTGATAATACACAACTGTATCAACCATTCTAAATATGTGAGTGAGTGAGTTTAATTCCGGTACATAGGTTTAATGTGGGAAGAACAGCCCAAAGCAAGGCAGGCCACATATGTTTATAACTTTGCAGAAACCCAAGAAGATGGGTAAGGTGCCGAAGGACCTAGAAACTGGGATGAACTGGAACGCAAAACCCATAATCCAAGGGTCACAACTCTGGGTCACCCTTCTGAACAGGTAATCATTGCATTGTCATATAAGTGAGTGAGTTTGGTTTTACGCCGCTTTTAGCAATATTCCAGCAATATAACGGCAGGGTACACCAGAAATGGGCTTCTCACATTGTACCCATGTGGGGAATCAAATTTGTTTTTTCACCGTGATGAGCGAACGCTTTAACCATTTGGTTATCGGAGGTAGTTTGATAGTTCCCTAAGTACTCACCACAAGCCTCCTTGTAGGCACTGGCCTGCATGTACAGGACATACAGCGGTCGGGGGAGGTGATATGCTGTCTCGTGTTGCTCACACACCTCATCGTACTGCATACCCAGGTAGCCCTGCACTGGCTTCGTGGCCTACAACAGGAACAGCATCCAACATCGTCCACCTTAATCTGTCTTTACTACACATATAGCCAGGTTAGAAATAGTCTACAGCAAACCATGGTTGTCATAAGAGGCGACTTAAGGTATTGGGTGGTCAGTCTAATTTACTAGGTTGACATATGTCATCGTATCTAAATCACTGGTCATGCTGTTGATTGTCTGGTCCAGACTTGATTATTTACAGACTGCTGCCAAATAGTTGAATATTACTGAGTGCGGAGTTAGACAACAAACAAACAAACAGCATGACAATCCACTAGAGATTTTCCGGGACCCCCCTACACTGACTGACTGACTGACGGAGTTTGGATTTATGCCGCTTTTAGCAATATTCCAGCAACATCACAGCAGGGGACACCAGAAATGGGCTTCACACATTGTACCCATGTGGGGATTCGAACCTGGGTCTTCGGGGTGACGAGCCAACGCTTTAACCACTAGGCTACATACACAGACACACACACACACACTATAACTGATAGGTCTCTAAAAGTCTTCAGAAAGAAAGATAGCAAGTCTAATGTTCCTCAAAGCAATAACAGTGCTCAACTTCATTACTCAAACACAGGTTCATGACAGAAACAGCAATAAGATGGTGTTGCGAAAGTCGACCTCAGCACAGTAGTCTCCATGGTTGTAGTCTTGTGTGTAGCAGTTGCTATGGTTACCTGAAGGATGGACTGAAGCTTGGGTTGAAGACTCTCCAGGTGGTCCTGCTTGGTCTTGATCTCCTGGGTGATGTCCTCCTTCTGTGTCTGGGCCTCCTTCAACTTGGCCGCCAGTCTGCAACAACACACAGCAACACGTTAAACAACACACAGCAACATGTTAAACAACACACAACATGTTAAACAACACACAACAATGTGTTAAACAACACACAACAACACGTTAAACAAAACACAACAACATGTTAAACAACACACAACAATGTGTTAAACAACACTCAACAACACGTTAAACAACACACAACAATATGTTAAACAACACAAAACAACAGGTCAAACAACACACAACACGTTAAACAACACACAACATGTTAAACAACACACAACAATGTGTTAAACAACACTCAACAACACGTTAAACAACACAAAACAACAGGTCAAACAACACACAACAAGTCAAACAACACACAACAATGTGTTAAACAACACACAACAGGTAAAAAACACACAACAGGTCAAACAACACACAACCACAGGTCAAACAACACACAACAACAGGTCAAACAACACACAACAATATGTGAAACAACACACACCAGGTAAAATAAAACACAACAACAGGTCCAACAACACACAACAGGTCAAACAACACACAACAATGTGTTAAACAACACACAACAGGTAAAAAAAACCACAACAGATCAAACAACACACAACCACAGGTCAAACAACACACAACCACAGGTCAAACAACACACAACCACAGGTCAAACAACACACAACCACAGGTCAAACAACACACAACCACAGGTCAAACAACACACAACCACAGGTCAAACAACACACAACCACAGGTCAAACAACACACAACAACAGGTCAAAAAACACACAACAACAGGTAAAAAAACACACAACAACAGGTAAAAAAACACACAACCAGAGGTCAAACAACATATTTCAACAGCTTGAACAACACAACATGTTTAGCAACACCTGACAGGTCAAACTGCTCAGAAACAACATGTTTAGGAACACAGAGCAGCTTAAAAATAATCAGGTAATAGGTTGAGCAATGAAAAAAACACTACAGGAAAAAGAACACAACATCACAACGAGACACCTACATAAACAGAACACTGTTTCCTCACAACTATCTTCACAACGAGACACCTACATAAACAGAACATTTATTCCCGACAACTAGACACATATATAACCAGTACACTGTTTCCTAACAACTATTCACATATAATGATATATAAACAGAAAACTGTTTCCTAACAACTTATCACATACATGAACAGAACACTGTTTCTTCACAACTATACACATACATAAACAGAACAGTTTCCTCACAACTATCTTCACAACTAGACACATACATAAACAGAACACTGTTTCCTCACAACTATCTTCACAACTAGACACATACATAAACAGAACAGTTTCCTCACAACTATCTTCACAACTAGACACATACATAAACAGAACACTGTTTCCTAACAACTATCTTCACAACTAGACACATATATAAACAGAACACTGTTTCCTGACAACTTATCACATACATGAACAGAACACTGTTTCTTCACAACTATACACATACATAAACAGAACACTGTTTCCTCACAACTATCTTCACAACTAGACACATACATAAACAGAACAGTTTCCTCACAACTATCTTCACAACTAGACACATACATAAACAGAACACTGTTTCCTCACAACTATCTTCACAACTAGACACATATATAAACAGAACACTGTTTCCTGACAACTATCTTCACAACTAGACACATACATAAACAGAACACTGTTTCCTCACAACTATCTTCACAACTAGACACATATATAAACAGAACACTGTTTCCTGACAACTATCTTCACAACTAGACACATACATAAACAGAACACTGTTTCCTCACAACTACCTTCACAACTAGACACATACATAAACAGAACACTGCTTCCTCACAACTAGACACATACATAAACAGAACACTGTTTCCTCACAATGAGACACATATATAAACAGAACACTGTTTCTTCATAACTATCTCTACAGCTAGACACATGTATATACAGAACACTGACTGTTTCCTCACAACTATCTCCACAACTAGACACATGTAAATACAGAACACTGACTGTTTCCTCTGTTCCAGCTCCCAGTCGAGTCTAGCCAGGGTCCGCTGGTGTTTGTCCTTCTTTGTCAGCTCCTAGAAACACAGGTGTCATCTATTTGTCATTTTTCATTGAGACTGATGAAACTATCTCTAAACTGCGGATGAAACAGGTCATCAGTCATTTTTTTTAAATCTGTGAAATTTGAATTTGAAATTAATTTCAAACAAGCTATTTCCAATATTCCCAGTGGGAAATCCCTGTTTAACAGATCCCCAGCAAATATATGCAGGTCAGCAATAAACAAAAACAAAATACTTCAAATAAAGTTCAAACATAAGAGCTGGACTACTCACAGGCTTGGAGATTTCCGGAGGTGCCTCCTTGTAGAAATCTCCCACTGACACCAGCTCAATCTCTTCATCCTTTGACCTGCAGAAACACAGCAACCGTGTCACATTAACATGGACAACAAACAATAATTGGTCTTTCCGGAACTAGAAAAAAAGGAGATAATTCTTATGCCTATTCCTAATGACACAGTAAATGAAATCAAAGAAAAATCATAATGGTCATCTACTTTGACATGTACATAGTTATATTGGCCACATTTTTCAACTCTGGCTTGTTACAGAGGCCCAGATAAGCAGCATATCCGGGTAAAATACGCATAGAATTACGCATTGAAAAATAACTGCTGCATACCAATTACGCATTTAAAATGTTAGATGCTCAAAAAGTTTAAAACAAATGCGTACGGAATATATTTATAAAAATCGCTTGCGTAATGAAAAAGACATCGATTGCTATCAAGTTGTACTGTAAGCATAGGACAAGTATTGTACTGTCAGTAAAGGATGAGTGATTTTTTATGAAATAATTTCCATTATATTTAAGCTGGTTTTGATTAGGTATGACATAAGGCAGAACATACCTGCTTAGTAAACTTACTCAATGACATCATACTTAGGTGAGTAAAGTGACTGAAATACGCACATATTTGAAAGCAGTGGGTAACGGAAAATGAAATACCCACTCAACATTCATAATACCCACTTCAAAAAAATACATTGGGTACAGTACCCACATGAGCTTAATCTTATCTGGAGCTCTGTGTTACTATTTATAAGTGACCTGCCCACCAGGTTTGTTGGGAGTAAAAGTGTTTCTGTCTCCTTATGGAGGTATTGATGACTTAAATGACCTGGAGATATTAGGTGATCTCCTTCTGGAGGCTGTGACTTGGTTGAACCTGTGACACTGGGTGATCTTGTTCTGAAGTTGACGTGACTTGGATTTCTGAAGGTGGTGACTTTCTTTAAATCAACTTACAAGTACTCAAGACACTTGATGATCCCCTAAAGGTGCTCCTTCTGTAGGTGTTGACTTACTTGAACTCAAGACACTCTCTGATCTCCTTCCGGAGGTGCCCTGAATTACTCGATCTCAAGAAACTTTATGCTCTTCTTCTGAATTTGATGACTTACTTGAACTCCGACACTTGGTGATCTCCTTCTGGAGGTGGTGACTAACTTGATCTCAAGACACTTGATGCTCTCCTGAAGAATTTGATGACTTACTTGAACTGCAGGCACTTGGTGATCTCCTTCTGGAGGTGATGACTTACTTGAACTCTAGGCACTTGGTGATCTCCTTCTGGAGGTGATGACTTACTTGAACTCCAGGCACTTGGTGATCTCCTTCTGGAGGTGATGACTTACTTGAACTCCAGGCACTTGGTGATCTCCTTCTGGAGGTGATGACTTACTTGAACTCCAGGCACTTGGTGACCTCACTTCTTGAGGTGGTGACTAACTTGATCTCAAGACACTTGATGCTCTCCTGAATAATTTGATGACTTACTTGAACTCCAGGCACTTGGTGATCTCCTTCTGGAGGTGCATGGCTTCGTATAGCAAGTTCTGCAGCTGCAGGTGGTACTGATCAATCCTCTGCTTGGCCTGACACACACATTACAAACACTTCAGTTTGCTTCCTTTACAAATAGACAACTGTTTTTTTCCCAAACAATATGTTGACAGCATTGCATGCTTTCAGAAAATCTCATTTCACGAGGGACCAAGTGGGTGCTGGCATATTACAATTCATTATTGTAGTGAGTTTAGTTTTACACTACACTCAGCAATATTCCAGCTATATGGTGGGGGTCTGTAAATAGTTGAGTCTGGACCAGGCAATCCAGTGATCAACAGCAAGAGCACTGATCTACACATTGGGATACGATATAAGTTGAATGCTTCTCTCCAGGGTAATACGGTCTGATGTAAGCCTCTTTGTAGCAGTGTCACCCGAGCCGGTAGGCGAGGGATGACACTGCTACAAAGAGGCGTACATCGAATGGTATTACCCGAGGGAGAAGCATACAGTGTATTTATGTTACCACCATGTTAAATGTACAAAATATCATTTTATTTTATTTTGAAGATCGCTGCCGGCTATATGACATGTAAACAAAATGGTGTCTGCCTCTTGACTGGAGTTTTAAAATCAGTGAAACATGTTCTGACAAGCTTAAAACTGCTAGAAAAATGGTTAATTGTGTTAACTTAAAAGTTGAGTTTGCAAACGATTCAATGTATAAAATAGTTTAAATAAACCAGTGAAAGTTGGTAAAATAAATGTGTACATAGCGAACTCAAAAACAACTAATCAAACGGTATTCGAACTCTGTGCACTGCATGTGTCATATTATGACGTCATACAATTGTTAGCGATACAGCATCTCAGCAGAGAGTTTGGCGGTTACCGTGGCAGCGCGTAATATTTTTTCCAGTTGTCACCCTCCTGGAAGAGGTGACACGGAAACTTGTTGAAACGTCCTTAACCAATGAAATTTAAGTTTTTTACATGAAGGTAAGATAATGACATGTGTCAATCAAGGCAATGAGCCTTACCACTCCGTGGGCCTACACAATGAAGAATTGAAATGTACAGGAACAATGTGGTCGAGGAGAACCAACCTCACTGGTCCCCTCTCGGACCTTGCGGCAGCGGAAGTGAGCGAGGCGGTTAAGTTTCTTCAGCACAACAAACTGCAGACTGGCATTGATCCTCTTCTCCTCTATCGCTTCTGCATTCTGTTAACATAAAGAAAAACACAATACACTGCTGGACAAAAGCAAGTACACACTTGGAAACTACACACCAACCCATTACAAATGTTACAGAGCTGAAAATGTTCTTGAAACACATCAAACGTAAATTAACATAACAAAAACACCATCTTCAAAACGCTTTCTAGTTTGTTTCATTTAATCCACAAATCAGACATGGAACATCCTTCCTTTCATTTGCCATCTAGTTCATATTAGGGACGTTCATAATTGATGGCTAGTGGGGGTGATGATGGTTTTAAGAGGGGGCCACCCATTTTGTTCTGGACAGATAGGGGGTGTATCAATTTTGTACACATGTACTAGTGGGGTGTCACTGAATTTGTACATGACATGCAGGGGATGTCACTTACTTTGTACATAAATTTTAAGGGGGGTCATTCACATTGTACATACTTCTCCATAACAATCATCATCACTACCCCTAGCCATAAATTAGGAATGGTTCCTAATCATAATCGGATAATGATAAAAATCTGAAACATTTACTCTGGGGCTTCAAACGAATTCTCTATGAGGTGAATATGATACAAATCCCCATTACTGGGTAACAAACACAAATATTTGGTAAATGAATACAATAAATCCAGCAAATGATACTTATTCATTATTTGCAGTGAAACAATAACAAAATAATTCTTTGATATGTGTTCAACATGTTGACAGTGTAATTTATCACGAGAATTAACACTAACAACATGGGTGAGGTGAAACTGGGTTTAACGTTGTGCTTGAGAATATTTCGCTCATATGACGATGAGCATGCATGTATATGTGTATGTGCGGCTGCTTGTACTAGCCCAGACTTAAGCTGGTTTTATAGTGCTAGCCCACTGAGATACCATGCCGCAGTGAAGCATGAATACCCCACTCAGACACATTATACTGACTCCCAGCCGACCAGTCCTTGTTGTACCCATTAATGCCGAGAGCCAAGCAGGGACCAACAAGTACCATATTTTAACGTCTTTTGGTATGATGCGGTTGGGAATCTAACCCACCACCTTCCGCTCTCCGGGCGGACGCTCTAACCACTACACCACGGAGGTGGTCAATATCAACATAGCTGTCAAATGAACCAGATAAGAGTGTTTAGTATTATCCTTCCTGGCTTGGGTATACACCATTTTGTAAATCCCATTACTAAATCCTGAAACAGAAAGAAATTACAAACATGGAAGCTGCGGTGGCTGAGTGGGTTAGATGGCTGACATCGTGTGCTAGCGATAACGTGCCTGACTCTGAGGGTGTGGGGTCGAATCCCGGATGGCACTCAAACCCAAAATGTACTAGAACATGTATTTTACAGAGAAAGAGTAATCCCAGATATAACATATCTTGTGTTTGACCACTTCCTAAATGGCATTGTGTATTCAACTGGCATTGTGGATTCAAATCAGAAACACACCAAAGATATCAATAAATCCCAACTGCAGTGAGAAAAACAGAGACATAACCAACACGATGCACTGCAATCCAGAAAACGATATTCAAACAAACACATGGAAAACTCATAACTTACAGCTTCTTTGTTCTGCTTCAGTTTGTTTATGTCCGAGACTGATTGTCTCATGATATTACAAGAAGTCTTGAAGACATCGAGGTCATCGTGTGGGTTGTTGCGGTCGACCTCCTCCTCCTCCATGTGAAAAAGTACCGACTCCTGCAGGCAAACATTGAGTAAGTTGGAGTCTTTGAATAAGAATTCAGGACTGAGAGGATATCTACTGGTGCTTGCTTGGAGGCTGTCATCTTGGTGTTTGAAACCTGAATGTTATTGTCTTTTATTTTGATTTGGAACCCTTATTAAATATTAACTCGCTATAAAAACAAACATACATTTTTGGAGGTAAAGGATTCAAGAAAACTTTGATATGAGTATTTTAAACACTGCTTTAGATATCTGCAGCAATTCAGGGATGTTCAAAAGCACGATATATCCTAAGGCACACACTGACACACTCTTCAGATGAGATCATCCACAGCTCCTAGTTGCAATGTAGAAAAATGATACCAGTTTATGAACAGGTGAGAAATAACCTAGGGATAACTACAGCTGTATGCTAGCTGTACACTTTAATCAAATAATGACATGTTTTACAGTTGTTCATGTGATAATGGAAACAACATATGATGTTCTTAAGCATCCAAAAGCCCACACCATGCTGCTACTAAACAATTTCAGGATTCACAGAGATCATTATAGATTTCTTCATGTGGATTAAACATTTATAATTACTGCTGCAGTAATTGGCTTGCGAGATTGATCTGATATATTTTCATATGTTCGAATATAAGGCAGAAAGTAATAATATAATTACCAGCGTAAATGAGTTTCGATCAATTATATCTCAATCTGACACTCATCAGCAAGTTACTTCTGTCCTACCAAATTACGACAACAATACTATTATATGGTCGGTAAAATAAATTGCAGAAATAAGTCAAGTCCTGTTGTCACCAAAATTCGTTGCTTGCCTAATGAAAATTGTATCCATTCCTGACAGTGAACGAAAACAGGACAACTTAAGCCGCGCGATTTCTTTCGTGTAATATTTTGATAAAAATAGTTCAGCTATCCAACCTTAGAAGACAGACTGTCGATCGACTTTGTCTTCTTCATGTCTGGGCTGCTGGTTGTAATCTCCGGCTTCAAGAGCCGCTTCTTCTTCTTCTCCTTTACCTCTAACTCTTTCGACATTGTTTCTTTGAGCGGAAACCGGAAGTTGCAAACACGAGCTTGAAAATGGGGTTATCTCCCTTATGTCCATGCTGGAAAGACTCGGTTGTAGACAAGCGCGAAATTCAAATCAATATATTTATTCAGCAATTTCCAGCTGTTGTCATGTCACTGGTGCACTGGCTGATTTGAGTTTTTTTTTGGGTTTACGCTAAATCAGTGATGAACTTCGTTTGTGACGTCAGACAGATGAATGTGATTCGCTGTGTGTCAATATTGGCATTATTAATGATATCAACGAAACGAAACTATTGATATCTTCAAATGATTTAAAGATATCAGCATTACATTTAAAGATATCAATAAAATGTTGTTTTAGGGTGTCAATATATAACTGAAGATAACGTATGATATTCAAAGTGCAGTTACTGATATCAAAATATGAAGAAAATATTTCGTGATATCTCTAAATGTGTTTAGGATATCAATAAGTTATTACCATCACACTGTCAATATTAAAATAGATTTAACGATAATGTAAAACATGTACATTCATGACACGCGCCCTTTGTCGAACAGATTGATTTTTCAAAGGCTGTTGAACAGCTTACAGGGACCAGTCATTTTTCAAATCCGAATTCAGTTATTTGTGTTGGACATCTGTTGTACTGTTTTAAACCCCAGGGTTTCGTTGTAAAAGCGATTTTAGCGCTAAGGTGACCCTAACATCCATACCTTAACACAGGCTTCCGGTAGTCTTAGCGCTAAGGTTGTTTTGTACAACGACACCCAGGTTTGTATGCCCCAGCAACAACACCGGTGTCACATAGGCAAACCCCATCCCCACCCCCACCCCCACCCCTTGTACTGAAGTTTATTAAATGACCATTGAAACTCAAGTGGAAACGGGTGAAAATGAACTGTGCGCGCACACGCACACACACACACGCGCACGCACACACACCACCCCCACCCACTTTCTCAAAAATCTGAATCCGCCCAGCGTCGTTATGAAAAGTTCAAGCATAAAGTTTGTTCCAGGACAAATTAATGCTCGAGTCAGCAAACGAAATATTTTGCATTCCCTGGTTGGTTTGTTGTTTAACGCCGCGCTCAACAAATAACCCTGAGAGGTTTCTTTTGTTGTAGAAATTTAATTCGTCTCTTTTTTCTTAGTGATAAGGTTTGCTGGTTGACAGTGATTGGCAGTGATTGACATTGTGAACTGGGCCACAACATCTTGGTACAGTGACCTATCCACCCAGTCGTGACCACCGGTTCATTTGGTCGCCTCTGACAACCAGTCTAAGTTTCTGGAACCCAGACCTGGATGAATACAAATTCTGACAATATATACACATGAGAAAAAGTATCGCAACACCTGTTTTTTGTCTGAATATTTGGAATCCTCAGGGCCATTGTGCATTGATTTTAGATATGCACGTTCAATCAGTGCGATTCTTCAAAGCATGGAATGTCATCTATAGGCGCATATACAATGGAGTTACATATAATACCATTTACATTAATTGTCCAATTTACGGCATCAGTTCTTTTCTGAACAAAAATGCTTGATGGATAAATAGGGCTACTCGGTGTTGTTGTGAAGGGTTTTGTTCTTGCAGGTTTAATGAAGACATGAGATAAGGGCCATTGTGGTAAATACTTGTTTCTTAAGTGGTCATATATAGGGCAAATAAAATGAAATTCATCTTCAATAACGTTCAGCATTCAGAATCTTTTTTTTCAAAGGACATTACTTCCGTTGGTTGATTACTTAACGTTAAGGCCTACCGTATTAAGACAGTACGTACATTCCTGTAGCGTACGTCAGCTAAATAAGACGCTGGCTCAAGCAACGACTTGAACTGACGACAGTATGGTATCTGGAACTTTTATTGCAAGAAATGGCAATATATTCCTCAGCTCGGAGGCTAAAATTTGGAGTTTTTCAATATCTTAACCATGTATTACATTGTATATTCAAAAGAAGTGACTGCAAATTATGTTTAAATCTTCAAAGACAGTACAACCTTTTAATCATGAAAGAATAACATATTACATTGTTTAATCTATTAGTCATATGAACATAACGGGCCCGGGTATTGTACCCGGGTTCAACTCATTACCCGCTCGTCCCGGGTATCCGGGTTACCCGTCCCTGCCATAGCATGCATACATTGATACATTGCCAACTGTCTGCGATAACCTAGTAAAGCCAAAGCCATATCTAAACAGTAATGTGCGGATATATGATGTCTAAGTGTTCTTACCAAGATTATCAGCGAGTGAGTGAGTTTACGCCGCTTTTAGCAATATTCCAGCAATATCACAGCGGGTGACACCAGAAATAGGCTCCACATTGTGCCCAAGTGGGGAATCGAAACCGGGTCTACGGTGTGACGAGCGAACGCTTTAACCTCTAGGCTACCCAACCGCTCCAATCAGAATTATCACGATGTGTTACATAGCACTTGACGTTGAAATACCAACGTTAAGAAACGTTTACAAGGATGCAAATGGACTCTTTCTATTGTATAATGTTCTTTAGAATGTATCTCATATCCCTATAGTAAAATAGATCATATTTGAGAATCAAATAATTTGAGATACACATGCGGTGGAATAACGCCAAGTTTAGAAATGGCGGAGTGAAGGACCGTCAGAGTGACAACTAAGCGGGGTACAGCCCTTCTCAGAATCACAAGACCTCATCTGTTCATGTCAAAGGGCGTGGCAAAAACAGCGTGGTTTCCACATGATCGTTTGTCAAGCAAAACGGTCCAAAATCGGGTACAGAGCCAGACGACCTCTCAGACGTCCGTTGTAATCCCCAGAGCACAAAGCAGCACGACTAGCTTGGTGTCAAGCACGACATTTTACGCCGCACTCAGTAATATTCCAGCTATATGGTGGCGGTCTGTAAATAATTGAGTCTGGACCAGACAATCCTGTGATCAACAACAGGAGCATCGATCTGCACAATTGGGAACCGATGACATGTGTCAACCAAGTCAGCGAGCCTGACCACCCGATCCCGTTAGTCGCCTCTTACGACAAGCATGGGTTACTGAAGATCAATATTCTAACCCGCACTGGAATTTGACGTCATGGGGAAGGGTTCACTGGTCGGACGAACGTCGATTTCCTTTGCTCATGTTTGATGGCCGAGCTCGTGTTTAACACCACAGAAACACTGCATATATGATATGCACCAGGGAACATCTTGGCGGGGTTCACTGGTGAAGATGGGGTGCCAGATAAAAACTGAATTGACAACGGCACATCACTGGCATCCTAGACGGGTTGTTGTATCACATTTCGATGACCATCCTCTGAACACAAGGGGCGGTGGGGTAGCCTAGTGGTTAAAGCGTTGGCTCGTCACGCCGAAGACCCGGGTTCGAATCCCCACATGGGTACAATGTGTGAAGCCCATTTCTGGTGTCCCCCGCCGTGATGTTGCTGGAATATTGCTAAGAGCGGCGTAAAACCAAATTCAGTCAGTCAGTCAGTCTGAACACAAAGCCAGCCTTCATGGACGACAATGCTAGGCCACATTGTGCACGTGCCGTTGGTGATTTCTTGCGTCATGAGGCGGTAGCAACTCCATCTTGGTCCGCCATGAAGCTAAATCCCAACGCCAGAGCACCTGTTTGGACGATATGGGTCGCAGATTATGCCAGAGAGATCCTCCAGTATAAAATCTTGATGCATTGGGAAAATCTCTCCATCAAGAATGGAACGCAATACCTCAACGTCAAATTCAACGTCTCACATAGACACTGAGGGGGAGGGGGAGGGATATGGTAATTGGTATTGTAGTTGGTACAATGTGAGTGAGGGAGTTAAGTTTTACGCCGCACTCAGCAATATTCCAGCTATATGGCGGCGATCTGTAAATAATCGAGTCTGGACCAGACAATCCAGTGATCAACAGCATGAGCATCGATCTGCGCAAATGGGAACCGATGACATGTGTCAACCAAGTCAGCGAGCCTGACCACCCGATCCCATTAGTCGCCTCTTACGACAAGCAGAGTAGCCTTTTGTGGCAAGCATGGGTTGCTGAAGACCTATTCTATCCCGGATCTGCAGATGGTACAATGTAGAGGTTACACCAGATATTGACATTACGCTTGGTTATTGATATTTATGTGATTTCTTTGGGGTTGTATGCCAGAATCTTGATAATGACAGTTTACTTGTTAACGTCATAAGACCGGACCATTCTTACCAGCACTACAAAATAAGTCATTTTTTGGCACGTTTGCTTCCATGATAAACTACAGCTTTTCGTTCTTTTGGTGTTCAGATTTGCCATCTAATTATTCCTTGAGGGTCAATTTATCCAGAGAGTAAATTATATTGAGACTTCGATCATTTCATTTCCTATGGTTAATGGTATCGTATTAATATTTTGAAAAATATGAGTCACGTTGGTGAAACCCATGACCACGGTGCTCACAAAATATGGGGCGTTACGATACTCTTTTTCATTTGTATGAGTACAATATAGAAATTTCAACTCGGATTCTGTTAAACATGTGTTATGTGGGGAATGATATTATTATCTTTCTCAAATCGTAATATAATTGATACATTTGCCGGTAATAAGGCAAAATATATGCTTGCCACAAAAGGCGACTATGCTTGTCGTAAGAGGCGACTAACGGGATCGGGTGGTCAGGCTCGCTGACTTGGTTGACACGTCATCGGTTCCCAATTGCGCAGATCGATGCTCATGCTGTTGATCACTGGATTGTCTGGTCCAGGCTCGATTATTTACAGACCGCCGCCATATAGTTGGAATATTGTTGAGTGCGGCGTAAAACCAAACTCACTCACTCACTCACTAAAGCAAAATATTGCAGGAAATATTAACACATTATCATATTATTCTAGTCTGTTATCTGACCTCCGTTTAATGCCGCTTTACACAGTATTCCAGTAACAGCACGTCATTGTAATGAAGGATTAAAGCTATGGAGCAGGATAGATCTCAGACGTCAATCACGTTGGTGAAAACCATGACAATGCATTCGTGACCCACTCGTGTT